CGTGAAACTTTGAATTTTCGTTAATATTCTATTTGTCTCCCAATAAAAAAACGTCTTGACATTTCCACGTGGAGTCTTTCGGTATCGAAATAAATCCAGAAATACATTTAGTATTGAAACGCCGAACACAAAATGTCAACGAAAAGATCAAGAAACCTTTTCCTACAGAATTATATATTGGAAATTATAAGAGACTTGAGGATATCCAAGTGCCTTTTACAGTTTGGTACAGACTACACTAAAGATTGAAAAATTAAAAAAAAAAATCATGAATATTCACCGTCATTCAAATTACATTTTGCACAGAATTATTATTTTTTAAACATTCATTGTTTATGAATAAATAATTGAAATTGTTTAAACTTTCGGAAACCTTATTTTTTTTACTCATGAAATCGACTTCTGGTAAAATCCTGAATAAATTTGTTACGATTCCGAACAAATGATTTTTATGATGGAAATTTGATTGTTTACACATGATTTATAGAAAATGGTCATAATTTTCAAAAATCGCAATTTTGAAATCATATTTCATCAGTCTTCCGCGAAATGTAAACTTTCTAATGTTATTTCAGATTTTCAAAATGTTTTCTAACTGTTCAATATTGAGTTAAATACTCAAATTAAATAATTAAATTAAATAATAAAATCATTGTAAAATATGCGGAAACTTAGGGTCAAATGAGGTTCAAATGAAAGCTCCGATATTCGAATACAAAAGTAGAAAAACATTTCACTGGACAAAAAATAGCGAAAGTACTTGGATATCCTTAACGTATAAACACGTCTAGGTGTTATTCAGATACGGATGCGTCGACGTATCCGTGTTTTGAATTGATTTTTTTACAAAATGTGCAAATGTTCTAGAAAAACCGAGAATCTAAAATTATTAAATAGAAAACAGACGGCGCTGGCTGTTAGAGGTGTCTTCTCCAATGACCCCCAACATGAAATTAAAGAAGTATCCCCTTGAAAAAAAAATTCTTCCGCAATTTCCCGCCAATGCAATATCCAAACAGATTTCTGCAAAATCGACATGTTCTGTTTTCATTAAGTCACGTTCCATCGGAATGCCGCAAATAACAGACTCGTTTTCATCCGACTCGTCAGACCTTGAAGAATAATTACCTTCGATAAACAAACTTGGGTAGTAAATCTCGCACCTCCCTCTCCTCCCCCATCACGATAAACAAAATCATTCGAAAGCCCGGAATTAATGGATTGATTGATAAATTCATCGACACTGCACTGTAAATTATTCCCACGCATAATGCATGGCGATTCTTGAACGATGACTCGTACACCACCGACTATTATTATCGAGGGGTAGACCGGGTGTGGGGACACGCCTTCTACAGTCGTGTGTTAAGATACAAGTGAAGCAGAATGAAACAAAGTGAGGATTGAATGTAAAATCGAGAACGATTATTTCATCATCGTGTCATCATCGAGGGGAAAAAATTCTCTGACAAAATTGAGAGCACAGTAACTATTCTGTGGGGCTCACGGTCGAGGCTTCAACTCCGCGAAACAATTGTTTACGTTTTGTCGCTCTACATTTCCTCAAAGAACTCAATTATTCTCGTTAAGCGCAAATTCCACCACCTGAGAGGGGAAAAATACAGCATAATTATCCCAATCTTTCACTCCAAAAAGCACCTAGAAACACACATGAACAAGTGAATACAGTGAAAGCCCACAACGAGGTTAAACTTCTTTTCTCGAAAAAGCGTTTATTTTGGTCTAAGGACTATTTTCGTGGTTTTGTGGGGCCCCCAGTCTTCAGTGCAACCAGTTTTCACGTTAGTGTTACAGCCAGATGGCCGTCGTCGTGTACACGTCGTTGGTAAGACCGGCAGCAGGCCGGTCCACCATCAAAAAGTGCAGATTCATATATTAAGTAATCTTGTTGGGATTTAGTAAGTGATGAAGTGATGACGAACGAGAGAGGTGAGGATTGATTGACAGGTCAACAGCCTGAATCAATGGCACGGAGGGAACGCGGTGGGTTCAATTCACACGGAGGAAAAAGTTGAGGACAAATTACTGAAATAGTCGAGTTATCGTGGAGCGAAATTACGTTTTAGGACTTTTTAACGGTAAATTTTGTTCAATTGATCCCAGAAATTTAATGATTGTCAGGGAATTTGTTCTGAAGTGGTAAAGTTCATCTGGAATTCCATGAATTGCACTGGTGAACGTAAATAATTACTCAACGTCTTGGAATTGTGCCTTTCGTCGGCTGCAAAAAAAAAATACTGCACAAGTGCGGGAAATTTTACTGTGCATTGTTAGAAAAAATTGGAATTCCATGGACAGATGGCTAGAAGAGAAAAAATTAGTTCTGATGAAACACTTTATGTTTCCCTGAAGAGACCTTTTGTCGTGCAAAACTAAATAATTTCGAGGGGACAATCTTTTTGGGAAAAAATATTTTTTTCGTCAATGTATTCTTTCTGGGGCATAAACCTATGGAGTTGTCTCAGATCAAATGATTTTCACACAATAGATTATATTTTTTCGTGATAACAGTTCGAATTCTTCCAGGGATATTTCTGATGATCACGAGAAAAATTTAATTTTTGTGAAAGATATTAAATTTTCGTCTATCAAGTTGGTTAATTTCCCTCAAGTCAGTTTGTTCCACTCCATTAAATATTCTCACGTGGAGCTAATTTTTTCTCTCAGTGTGACATTGAATTCGATTTAAGGACAAAATCGTAAAACTTTAAATTTCACTGAAAAGTTTCAAATTTTTCAGCAATTGGAAGTCGAATATATCCGAGTTTTCCTTATGTCTATCAATTTTCGTGGAATAATTGAGCTTAAATTTACCGTTTCCATTGATTTTTCATAAAATTTTGAATTTTTAATGTTGAAATTCCGTGAAATTTTAGTGGAACTGTAAAATTATAAAAATTTCGAAAAAGTGTACTGTTGTTGTAATGAACTAATCGCGCGATCCTCTGAAGTATTCTTTACTAAATTACATCTCGCTCCACGATTACCTTGCGGACATTGAAATTCGCCGAGATTCATTGGATAATTTCCCCTCAACTTATCTCTCCGTGCAGGCAATGGTGTTTGCCTTGGTACTGGCAGGGAGGAACTACGTGTTTTCCACCAACGCAATGATCGCTCCAGCAATAAGAGGTACTGGAACAGCTGGATGCAACGACAGTACGTTACGCCAGATTCTGAAAATGAGGTAGATTAAATCGGGGAGTGAGGGAGACAAAAATGCAGAGCCAATACAAATTAATCGGTTTACTAATTTCTAATTGATTCATGAAGCGATAGACTGTTGACTTGATTACTCGAACTATGATGAGCTCTCATTTTTTTATGAATAGATAGATTGAAGCTGTTGAGGGGAGGAAGGTTTGTGTGCTCTTTTGGAGGTGATTTGGTGTCGTTTCTTGGCTGTCTGGGGTTAATGGTAAACGATATTACTCAAGAGAAGTTTAAGGCGTTTGTTCGGTGTTTGCGTATGTACGTGGTACTAATTTCCATTGGCACGTAGCAACGCGGTCATTCGAACACACGGGCGATCGTCCAACGCATGAATACACTTGTGTTAGCGTTGGCGTTTATATTTGGATACTGTTTGGGCTTTTCAGCACTTTTTTTTTTACGGGGGTGGGAAAGTTTAGTTGTGAGGCTTCTGGGAATTGAAATAGTAGGATTTTTGGAGGGAAGAAACGGAAATCAGAAATTGAGGAAGATTGATGCATTCGATTGTGAAGTGTCGATTAAAGGTGCCAGTCGTGTTTGATAAACAAATTTTTTTTCAATTCCCTTCGCCTTCCGTAGTGGAAGAATAATGTGACAATCCATCCGGAAAAATTTCAAACCAGCAGCAGGAAGTTGTCGAGAAAATAAATACGGAAAGCATGAGATTAAATGGGCGCCGTTACATTTACCACATCATTCCTCATATCTCCAAATTGTTGAATTTTTTTTATCCCCTAGGGAGTGAAATGTTCATTTTTCATCGTAACTCCATAACAGCCCGTGTATAAAGTTGATTTAGTTTTTTTTATGTCTCGATTTATATTCAATTTCTTTGTGGGAAGGAGTGGTTTTAGGGGAAATATAAAGAGTTTTTCTTCGTAACTGGGAAAATACTCCAGAAAAATGTCTCTTAACTTTTCACCCAAAAAACAACTGTCATTATTAACATAAATTCACGAATTAATTAGACATGCCCCTGCAACGTAATAGGAAACGATAAGATAAAATAGAGCTTGTTTAATCATCTTCTGACCAAATGCTGTGATTTGTGGCATTTCATTGTAGCGATCTCGAGTGCTTAGTGTTTGAGATTTCTCCAGTTTTTAAGTTCATTCTGAATTTGTACTGGAAACGATTTTATGAAAAAAAAAACAACAACCGACACAGCCCCTCTCCGATCCCTTTTCTAGTTCAAGAAATTTCCTACAAAAAAAGTATTTTCACATTTTTTCGTCAAATAACCCCTAAACGAGATAATTTAGCATTCCACACTTCACTTCTGAATCCCTCGTCTTAATCAGCCATGATGTTGTTTAAAAAAAAATTTATTGGGACGTTAATGATACATGCGGAGTGAAAATGCCTCGATATATCTTCGGCCTCTGCACAATCCACCTACGTTTAAATAAGGAAACTCGATTGGGAAGGCTGAACGGTCGAGTGCAAGAGGGAGAAAAGGAGATGAAAAATCAGAGAAATAACGTCACATGATTAATTACTCCCGGCTACTGAATGCAATGATAGCAGTAGAAAAACAAGACGAGTTTGTATCAGTCGGAGGCGTGCAGTTCAGTTGAGACTGCCCAGTGAATCAAGGAGATACATTTTTTTATCTCCAAGAACACCAGAAGACTGAATCTTCAGGCGTAAAGCATCGAAATTAATCGTGCAGTGATGTGGTAGAACGTAATAAGCTGACGTATTCGTTAATTGTGGATTTATCTCGGAAACTAGTGGCTCTAGGAGAAAATGCAATCAGACATTTTTTGTAGCTGTGAAAATTTCCAAGAAAAAATGTTATTTGACATTTTCTCGTGGAGGCATCCGTTACTGAGATAATTCAAGGTTCAACGAAATGTCAAACATGGAATTGTCACCTTCAGCCGATGTTTTTTAATATAGAATTAAATTGTGATAGAACTATGATGATGGTTACCCTCGCACTTGCAATAAACTCACACCTGATGAGAGCTGTTGTTAAACTAGCTGTCAACTTTCCCAGTGATCTGGCTGTTCACGTAGAAAGCAGCACAGTGAGTTGAAGCTCATCGTTAATGAATATAAAAAAAATCGGAGAACAAAAGCTTTCTTTACGGCTGTGTCATGAACACTCTCCACAAATCATCGATGTCGTGGAGAGAATTATTTATACTTGAGGGATAAACCAGTCGATGTTAACTAACTTCCACTGAGGATAGGAAGACTGAATACAGCCATCAACCTTGAAAATATACCTCACTCAGACATTATTAATAGTTTAAACGACGAAGACCACGAAAACTTACCGCCCACTTGGGATTTTCAAACGGTTGGGAGGGACTAAGTGGCTGGGAGAAACTGGTGGATTAATTTTTTTAATAATGTTCTAGTTACTCGTAATTTTTTGTTGAACCATTTTCGCGATTTTCAAAATTAGCAAACGGGAAGATCATTTTCTAGTCGTTTTTTTCAAAATTAATTCAGTAGAGAAGGAGTGAAACCTAATAAGTTGACATTATTGATCTCGGGAATGAGAAATTCTAGGGAAAAATCTCGACAAAAATCCCCTAAACTCCCCCTGTCCCAAGAAAAATCAGCCATAAACAAAAATGTCAAAATGTACCGATCCCAGTTCTCCATTTCTCTAATGAATCACATTGTTCAACTCACGAAATAATTCATAAACCTTTGAATTTCCATTGCCGGTCCCAAGGAAATCTCTGACGTGTGAACATCAGCTGACGTCTCCCAAATCAACGAGAAAAATTGAAACGATTAAAATTTACGTAATCAACTTCAAGGAGAAGCTACTGGATTGATTTCATTAATAATATCTTATATTCATTCGTAGCTTTTTGTAGAACGATTGTCGCGATTTTTCGTGGGGTTTTTCTCAATTAGTCAATCTCAAGTACTTTACAAACACGAAAAATATTTTCCAGTCCTTTCTTTCAAAATTTATTCAGCAGAGAAGTGGTGAAACGTAACAAGTTGATGTTGTTGATTTGGAGAACGAGAGATTCTGTGGAAAAATCCCCTAAAATCCTAAAATAAATCAGTAATAAACAGAAATGTCAAAATGTACCGATCCCATTTCCCTAATGAATCCCATGTTTCAACTCACGAAATAATTCGTAAACCTTCGAATTTCCATTCCTCGTTTCAATGGACTCGATGACATGTGAACATCAGCTGACGTCTCCCAAACCAACGAGAAAAATTAAAACGATTAAAATTTACGTAATCATCCTCAGTGTCACCATTCTTTATCCATTTCCCCCCTCATCATCATCGCCTCTCTCTCTGTCTCTCTCTCAATCTCTCAATATTTCCACCACCCCTGATACCTTCCCCAACCTGTATAACCCATCTCACTTGGCCCACAGAATCAACTGAGGACGCATTATTTCGTTGGTTATACGTGGACTAGCTTGCACAGTCTCCTCTGAAAATTTATTTTTAGTATAACATCCCAACAGTATTTGGCGCGGTGAAACAGTTTAGCCCCCGTCCTCGTCTACCACTTCTGAATCGCCGTGTCTTGCGTCGTTTGTCGTCTTCGAGGTGGACATCACTCGATCGACGTGCGTTAGCGATAAAACACCTTTCTAAAAAACCCCAAGTGATACAAAAAAAAACAATGTTGATAAAATAACGAAAACGGGAGGCTGGACCTCGCGACTATAAAAATTTCCACCTGAAGAAAAGTGCTAAACCCCAAAGAATCGAACATAAAACCTAGAAATCTCGAGACCTTGACGGCAAACCCAAACCAAACCCCAAGAGTAAAGAAAAAATTCCAAGCCCTCGTGAATAAATCCAACTTTAACTCGACGGTCACTACTCAATCGTCAAGATCTTGCTCAACCATAAGAAAAATGTTCGCGTTTACACCTCGGGAGAATTCATCGTCCTCCCGTCAGCCTTCGACCTCTCGTCGTAACCGCTACACCCGCTCATCGACAGCAAGTGTCACCCAGCTGTTAAGTGACTCGTGTTCAAACCTCCTCCAGCGATTGACCACTCGAGTTCGCGGGCCCTCGACCACTGTAGACAGACAATCAACAGTGGCTCGTTCTCCAGTTCGTCCCACACGTGACCTTGGCACAACTAGAAGTCGTCTAGAAGACAAGTACCAATCGATATTGGATCGTTACTCCAAGAGGAAGGACGGTGACACTGTGAACAATAATTACAAGCGTAGTAACACTAGGAATAATAACGAAGTGTACGTGAAGGACGAGTTGAGTCCCTTTACGAGGGAGGAGAAGACCCTGGAGCCCGAGCCCAAGCCGAGGAGCGTTGTTCTGACTGAGAAAGCTTATCCTTACGTAAGCACAAGTGGAGTTAAACGGGAGAAGACACCAGGCTATCACAGACACGACAGATCCAATCACTTGACGACGGAGTCTATCAAGAGATATGGTAGACACAAGTCCGGACAGACTGAGAACAGAAGCAGAAAGGTTAGACCGCTTCATAGATCTGGCAAGAGTGAGCAGCTGGAGGGGACCTTTGGTCGGCCAAAGCGGAGGGAATCCGAGGATTGCAATGGGGATTCCGACAGAACACCTACCCAGAGGATTCCGGACACCATCGAGGACGAGGCCATCACCGAGAGGGAAGCCAAACGTAAGGAGATTCAGGGACTCATCATGAAGTATTCGGCCATTGATGAGGCTTATGGCAAGGTCGGGGGCGCCAATGGCGAGGCTAAACCCAGTGCTGCTGATATAATTGCCAGCAAGTATCAGAAGAAAGGAAAGGGATTGTGTTCGGTGGCTGATGGGAAATTTAATGAGGGGATGATCGTAAGTTGTCGAGGGTGTGATGGAAAATCAATTGTTGGACGATTTTGCTTGATCGTGACAGTTTTGGAGGAGGGGTGTGTGCTTTAGTTGTGATAATATGGTAATGATTACAAGTGTTTTACTAATTGTGGGGGTTTGGGCTGGATTTGCCAGTGAAGTGGGAAAGTAGATGAGTCAATGTCACGAAGAACTAGTGGTTGAGAGGAGGCGGCGCGACTCTTTGACATGTGGTTTGAATTTATTTAGCTTCGTTGATTTTGAGACGTTTATGAAGTGGTAGAATGAGGGGAAAAGTGATCTGTTATAGAAGACAATTATTTTATAACCGATCTGTTTTTGAGAATAGCTCGCGATCTAAGGGAGATAGGAGAAAGTTTGAACGGAAGAAGGTTCTGACCAAGAATATTCTAAATGTTCGCAAGCTAGGTTGACTTACCTTTTTTATCATTCCAATGCGGAAAGTACTCGTAATATGCGTTGATGAGTCTTGTTTTACCACTTCGATATCGATTCTTTCTATTCATTTATTTGTGTCGATAATGAAGTGGTGAAGTAGTAGGTAATGAAGCAGTAGGTTTTGATGAATATCTAGGGATTGGGAGAAGATAGTGCGGAATTTAATGAGGGGATGATTGTTATTTATCGAGGGTGCGATGGAAAATCAAATGTTAGATGATTTTGCTTGATCGTGACAGTTTTGGAGGAGGGGTGTGTGCTTTGGCGTGATAATATGGTAATGATTACAAGTGTTCTACTAATTTGGGGAGGTTTGGGGCGTATTTGGTAGTGAAATCGGAAACTAGATGAGTCACGGTTATGAAGAACTAGTGATTGAGAGGAGGCGGCGCGATTCTTTGATATGTGTTTTGAATTTATCTAACTTCTTTTGATCGAGATGTTTATCGGAAAGTGTTGGAAATAGTGAAGTGGTAGAACGCGAAAAACTGATCTGTTATAAACCGAAATTATTTTATATCAGTTTTTATCAATTTTAATTTAAACCGGTCTTTGAGAATAGCTTAGGATCTACGGGGGGTAAGAAACAAAGTCCCCAACAAAATCACTTCAATACTGGAAGTATTCTCAACAATTGATAAGTCTTGTTTTACCACTTCGATATTGATTCCTTCCGTTTCTTTACTTGTTTCGGTGATGATTTAGTATAAGTAGATGAATATCATTCTGATATTAAGTACCCCATGGGGATCTTCTTTTGATGATGATATTTATCGAGAGTTAGTTGGAAATCTCAAAGTGCCGAAACAATATGAGTTAATTCCACTCAACAGATCAGGATTTGATTCAGATCGGAGTGTGACGGTAACAAGTAAGACCGAAACTTTTGTTTTATATTGTATTAACATAGTAAACAAATGGCAATGTCTCTCTGAATCGGATCCCAGTCTCCGCGGAACCAACTCATAAATCTTGTTTTATCACTTCTATATGGATTCCTTCTGTTCTTTCACTTATTTCGGTCATCGATCCAAGAGTTTTACCAATTTAGTGAGTTTGGGGTTCAACAGCCGGGTAAATGCCCCAGCGAAGCGATGTAACGAGATGACTCAATGTCACTCAAACATTGGGTTCTGGTAAATATCTAGTGATTGAAAGGATATACGGTCCATTTTCACTACTTCCTTTCCATTCGGAGATATACGTCCAACAGGATGAGTCAATTCACTTAAGAACAGATCATTTTTTCAACAAAATCTTTGTCAAGAAGAAGACCTTCACCGAAATTATGCAAAAACTCATCCTGTTCTTTCCTTTCAATTCTGAAATTATTCTCAAGAGACATTGATGAGTCTCGTTTTGCCACTTCGATACCGATTTTTTTCCACTGTTTACTTGTTCTGCATGATGTTTGAGAGGTTTTACAGTTGTTGAGAGCTCACTTGGTCGATTACCAACCACCGGTGAAATCTATTTTTTACAGTTCAAAGGTTTACGTAAGCGAGAGAGTTTGGAGGACGTTTAAATGTATTTTTTTCTGTTCTTTTTTGTTGTGGTTGGGTCTCTTGACGTTTTTACTCGAGACCGATGAATTTTGGCTGTGATGGAGATGGTTTTCATTCCAATTGTCCATTCTCGAGTAGAAATTGTTGAGGATATGTCAATTTACCGAGTTATCGATCACTGTTGGTTGGCAATGTATTGTTCGCTAACGCTGGGTACGTCGCATTGACCGCTGTTGGAATTCAACGGTTAATGCTACACGTGCCTGACGTTGCTGGATACACACGTAAGTACCCTAAGTATCTAAGTACGCAAGCAATTACATATCTTGTTCGTTTTAAAATTTTTTTTTTTTCATTATCTTCATACATTTTGTTTTCATTTATTTTATTTAACTTTGTGTTTTTAATTCGTAATATCCAGAATACGTTTAATGGAAGATAAAATAACAGTCGATTGTAGTAGTTTTGTCGTAATGAATTTTCTAGTATTAAAAAAAATTATTAGAGTACCGGTGAAGCATCAAGAACAATCGGCCGAAGAAGCGGTACGACGAAGCAGTCATTGTTCGAATGATTAATACTTGCACAATTGCTCATTTTTTTTTTCTCACTCAAATACCAAATGCTCATCAAAGTCAAAGTAATTAAGCAAAATTCCACTGATTTGACTCGGTTGATTGAATTGAGAAACCTCAAAATTGTTTTTCATTTAAAATAGAAAAATACGACTGCTTCGGAAAATCTCAATAGGCAAAATAAAAAATATAGATTAAGGATTAAAAAAAAAATGCGCTTTGTGCCGATTGGTAAATTTCGTAACCGCAACTTTCTGACTTGGCAAACTATTTTGCCCTCTCCCCTTTCTCTCTGATTGTTGGGTTACCATCTCCGTTGTTATGGAATGGCATATGGTTCGATCGTCCCTGTGGGTGGAACTCTATGATGGAATTGATGTGGATCAACAACACGGCTGAATGAATCAACGATGATAACACACTGTTGGGCTCACACAACACAACACAACTGGTTATTAACACAACTGTCTGATGATTTGTGGAATTAATCATCATCCAAACAACAACCCTGGAACATTTGGAATTGGTTCTATTATTATCAATGAATTCGTTATTGAATTTGTTACAACGGATGGGATGATGGCCAATTGTTGCGGTGGTATCGACGATTTTTACGGTTGATTGGGGTTGCATCATTGTGTCATTTGCCATTGGATCAACATTATCAACCATTGGGGGACATCCAATAACCACGACACTGTATGATGTGGCACGATTTACACGACGATTAGAGCCCACGACAACCATCCGTCGAGGACGACGAGGACGGCCACCTTGTATACCAAAATGGCGACGTCCTGGCAAATAGATGTTCGTGAAATACGTGAATACAATCATTGTAGTAGATTTAAGAAACAGAAATGATTATTCATTTTTATTACCATTGCCCGCCCATTTTTTTTTCATCGGCGCCTTCTTACGATTAGATCGATTGGCTCGATTTTATCATTATTTTTTTTCTTTACGATTTTGTTTCCTTCTGTACTATCTCTTTTTCTTTCGGTTTTTTTAATTTCTTAGGGGTTTTCTGTAAATTTCTCGATGATATTGCGATTTGTTTGGGAGATGACAGTGAAATGAGGTGAGATGGGGTCATCTTCTAGTTTTTGATGAATTCCCTTGTATTTGGGGGGAATAGAGGGATTTTTGTGGAGATAAGTGAGAGCTGTAAAGGATTTGTTGATGTTTTTTTGTAAAGCAATTGGTTTCGAGATATTTACATAATTGAACAAGATTTCATGATTTTTTTCAATTTCGGTTAATTTTTTTCGTTTTGATTATTGAATTATTTCAATAATAAAAGTTTTTAAGAGGGAATAACCTTTTTCATAGAGAATTTTATCAGCTGCACAAAAAGTTTTTTCGTATTTCGTTCATTAATCAACAGTTTCTCATTGTTAACCCATTTATTCTTGTTTTAATTATTTAATTATCTGAATGAAAAATTTTTACGAGCAAAATCGCAAACTCTGAAAAATAGTATATTTCGATACAAATGTGTAAACGGGTGCTGTCCTCCCAAGGGTCAAGGAATACTTTTCACACGAGTGTCGAATCCTATTTTTCATCATAATGTGCGTAAATTTCGCTTTACGCACAAGTGATGAAAAAATTCTGTACCTCCCAATTGCGAGATATTTTCAAAAAACAGATCCAAAAACATTCCTGACTCATCTCCCTTCATCATTTCATTATTGAACAAGAACCCATGAACAAGATGCTCTGAGAAATTTACAGAAAATGAGCTCATTTCTGAATTCATCCTAAATTAATTACAATTCTCGAAATTTTTCAACAGAATTCAATCGAACAATTCCGAAAATTCTGATTTTTTTAATCTAATTTTCATCAGTAATTACTCTCCCCCAACAATTTCTCAAATTTATCTCGACCCCCTCTCCCCCCTCCCCCCCTTTCTCACGTGACTAGTAGGCATTGTACTGTGACACGATACCTACCAACGAGCCAAAACGATTATTTTCGCCAACGTTGATAGAAATGAGAACGTAACATAAAAGAAAGCCCAGACCTGAAATTTCAATCAGATCTAAAATAATGATTCATTCCGGGATTTAATTAGATTCTAATCGCACACTTTCGTGCCCACAATTTTTCTCCTCCTATCTGTAACTCGTTTTTTTTTTTAGTTTTTTTTTGACATTCCACCTTTTTCAGATGCCAACGTTTGTCTCGCTGGACCCGCGCGACTACAAGTAGCATAAAACAATTCGGTGTGGCGTGTCACCCAGGAATTCAGAGTGCTAATGCATTCCCTTTGGAGATGCGAGAGATACCAATGGGAATGTCTTTCACTCTATTCGTCATTGATAGAAAAAGAAAATATTTCAAGCATTTTTGGGGCTTTTGAAAGATTTTCTAATGCCGTTTTTTTCTTCATCATTCTCTGGGTTACACATCCACCGTGTACGTTTTCTCTCTGTCTCGTCCTCAAACTTTCACCTCCATCTCGATGATTGACTCATCGATCAATCATTGATTGTCCAGAATTCAATTTTCACAAGTTGACAAATTTTTTTGTACATTTTTTTTTTCCATTTGATTGACGAAGACAGAGAGAAAGTGAGCATATTGCCTCGTGTACTCGTCAGTCAGGTTGAATAGAAAATAATTAGGTTATCGGTTGGGTTTAATTACCTCGAGGCGAATTAAAATGAACTCTTCTAGTGAAAAGCAGATTTTTCTCGGTAAAACACTCTGCTGCACAATTTATTGTTCATCGGCCGTGCGAACACGTTCACATTATCATTGTAATCTCTGAATTATTGGTTGACTATTCAGAGGTATTTATCCAGACTTTTCGATAATTCCAGAATTGTTTTCCTTTAATTTTTTAATTTTTTGTTTTATTAGAAAATTTGGAGATTATGATGATATTCAATGGGTAATTGTGCTCACAAGGCCGCACCTTTGCTCTGAATTAACTCAATACTCTTACAATTACAGATAAAGTACTGGCAACCCTGGGCGAAGGTACTTTTGGAAAAGTTGTCAAGGTTAAGGATATGCAAATGTAAGTTTTAACAGTTGGATTGATTACTCTATCCAATGAAATTATAAATAATACGGAAATAACTGTTGTAATTAAAGACTGGCTCAGTGTCAACACGTGGGGGGGATACTGATGTTTGAAATATTTAGATTCTCAGAATTGTATTCTAGATTTGGGGAATCATCGTTTGGGGATTACTCATCGTGTTTGTATGATTTAGGGATCACACTATGGCCTTGAAGATCATCAAGAATGTTGAGAAGTACAGGGAAGCTGCTAAGTTGGAGATTAATGCACTTGAAAAAATTGCAACGAAGGATCCAGACTGTCAACAGTAAGTTCTTTGGTTTTTCTTTTTTACTCGCCTATTCAGCTCATATTGTTAATTATGAGGTGTGCAATGTGAAGAAACATTTCACGAAGTGAAATAAAATCAATTATTAATTTATTTAATTTATTAATTAATTATTGGGTTTTTCATTTTTAATCGCCTCGATAATGAGAGGTTCTGGAATAACATTTCAAGCCATTGTTTGTAGGGAATTTTATGAACTGCAAAAAAGATGTGACATTTTACGTTAGCATAATTCATTTCCGAGATAATTGGACATAATTAGTGGAGTTTTTATGATCGAAGACGTACTCTTAGATTTTCTTACTTGTTAATTATTTCAGTGATGAGTGATTTGAAGAGAAATTTTTTCGCAGGCGATTTATGAACAATGAAATATTAACTGTAATTGCCCTAGTTTTTAATTTATAGTGCAATTATTTTAGCAATGAGACGTTTTTCTTTCTATTAGAGAATTTCTTCACCTACAAAAATTTGCAAAATATTCACTTGATTAATCAGTATTTTGGTTCTATTGTTGATTTATTTTTCTTACTCTAATTATTGAATTGTTTCGATTATGAAAGTTTTTGAGAGAAAAAATGGAACAAACTTTTTTCCCATAAATTGTTCTGAGCTACAAAAAAGGATTCTTGATACTTTCTTCTAAAATCACCTGTTTGCACGATATTTGCGTAATAAATCGCGAGTTTCATATAATTAATTTATTCGTTCTTACTTCAATTATTGAATTATCGTAATAATGGGCTGTTCGACAAAAAAAAATCGAAAACCACCTCTTTCAGTTAATTTCATAAACAATTAAATATAAATTATAATCGCCCTAGCTTTCCATTAATAATACAATCATCTCCCCAATGAAAGACATTTTTAATCCCACAAATGATTATTACAGTCTCTGCGTGAAAATGTTGGACTGGTTCAATTACCACGGACACATGTGCATCGCCTTCGAGATGCTGGGACTCAGTGTGTTCGATTTTCTGGTACGTATTATAAAACTGAAAATTTTACTCTCTGAAATAACCCCAAATTTAGCTAGTAGACTGATTCATCTATTTCCCCCTTCATTTAATTTTCAGAGAGACAACAGTTATCAGCCCTACCCCCTCGACCACGTACGACACATGGGGTATCAGCTGTGCTACGCTGTGAAATTCCTCCACGACAGCAAACTCACCCACACTGATCTCAAACCTGAAAATATCCTGTTCGTCGACTCAGATTTTGACATCACATACAACGCCAAAAAGGTAATAATCACTTGGTCATTCAGTTAAACCCCTTTACATGTTCTGTGTTTTCCTACCCTCTTTTTCCTTCTCCAATGGTGTCAAGTTGTTTTATAATTAGAGCATGATTTTATTGAGTAGTCTCTTGTAATAATAAATGTCTGTGACAAAGCACGCGTTTATGTTTAAAACAGAAGTTTATTTATGATGATATTATTCACCAGGAGATTCACTTTTCGAATGAAAATAATTTTTGAAAATTCTGAAAATGTTTCTTGGGCAGAGTCAAACAAAACCGAGTAAAAAATATTAATTATATTGAGGTAGAATTATAAATTCCAGTTCTACACTGAAAAGTAGTCGGAACCATAAGTGGATTAATTTTAGAAAAATAAAAATGTCCGATTCAAGAAGTATCAAGGTTCTGAATTCAAGAGCCAACACTTCCTCAAAGTGAGCAACAATGTAGTTTAAATTGAGAACAATTGTACTTGATTTAATTCAAGATTAGTCAGAATTAGAACTTTTCGTCTAATTTTTAAGGAAAATCTTCTTAGAATAAATGGAAATTTTCCATATCTTTAAAATTCTTATTCACAGGATTGAAATTATTATTATTGAAAACTAAAAACTTCATCTTTCGGACCCTTGATGAAGGATACAATTCAGGATTAATTGAGTCAACTAATATACTTCCAATAACAGAGGAGTTACGAATTATATTGAGATAGAATTGTAAATTTCAGAATTAATTTGAGAAAAGTAAAAATCTCAGATGCAAGAAGTATCCACAATGTGGCTTGAATTGAGTGCAATTATACTTGATTTAATTCAAGATTACTCAGAATTACAACTTTTCGTTTAATTTTTAAGGAAAATCTTCTCAGAATAATTGGAAATTTTACATATTTCCGGAATTATTATTCGCAAAATGTTAGTACAACCGAATTTTGAAATCCAGAAATTATTATTGAAAACTAAAAACTTTTCATCTTTCTCACTCTTAAAAAAATCGAAAAGAATGTAGAGTTACGCCCATATAAGTTTCAAAAATTACTTTCAACTCGAAAAAAAATCCCACCCGCCCTTAACAAATAATTGGGCCTTACCATTAGCCAGAAACCAATAAAAAACGTTTGAGAAAAGCGTCTTCTGTTCAAGCGACGGGATGTTCGACGCGTTAAGCGAACGGACATACGTCTGATAGATTTTGGCAGTGCGACATTCGATCATGAGCATCACAGCACCATCGTCAGTACACGACACTACAGAGCACCCGAAGTTATTCTCGGTGAGTAATTTTATATCGAAAGTACCACGTGATTCAGAGATCCCTCTCTCAATTCAGTCTACAATATACTTGAAGGGCGCTATTATTAAACATTATCATGATAATTCAACAGAACTTGGATGGTCCCAGCCGTGTGATGTGTGGTCCATTGGCTGCATACTCTTTGAATTGTACCTGGGAATAACGTTGTTCCAAACACACGATAATCGTGAACATCTTGCTATGATGGAGCGCATACTTGGCACTATTCCACATCGTATGGCACGTAAAACAAAGACAAAGTACTTTTATCATGGCAAATTGGATTGGAATGATAATAGTTCTGCTGGGAGATACGTTAGGGATAATTGTAAACCATTGCACGTAAGTTAACTCAAAAATTATTATCTCAAACTCGTAATATCAATGTTTTATTTTAATTTTTTTAATATTACAAGACGAATTTTGTAATATTTTCACCAATTTTCGCGAAGTTTGCAATTATTATTCGGAGAAGTTTTTTCTATTACTAAATTTATTTTCTCATAAAATTCAATAATGTCAAACGGTCAATCAAGCACAGCCCTAACCAGAATGTTTTGATTCAAATTAACATAAGTTTAGAATTTATTTCAGATTTTAATCTTCAAAATTTAAGTTACGTTTATACAACTTTAAAAAATACACAAATTGATGATTTTTTATTTTTATTTCAGCGCTATTTGCTCTGTGAGGACGAGGAGCACAGACAACTATTCGACTTGATCCAACACATGTTGGATTACGAGCCCTCCCAACGAATAACCCTGAAGGATGCTCTCTCCCACCCTTTTTTCGACTCACTCCCAGCCTCCCAGAGAATAACAGACGCACGAGCTGGTGGTGATTCCCAAACGACACACGAGAGATCCCATTCGTTGTCTCGATGAAGCTAGAAGTGGGACCAATCCCTTGACTGGTCAGACACAAAACTCAAACAATTATTCAATGCACTCTGTGAAAAATTAATATTTTACCTTCGACGATACTTCTGATACCTCAGTCCCCTCGTTCAAATCAATTTTTATTATTTAAATTAACGTACGTCGAGGGTTAACTCGAGAAAAATGTAATCAACGTGTCTGCTCAGTTGAAAGCGACTGCGTCCCATCCCTCAATCAGTTTATTTTTCCTTCAACTCTATCATTTGCGATTGTAATTACACATTTTATAATGCTCTTCTGTACATTGTATCCTATTTTATTAATAACAATTCAAGAGAGAAACGAATGGAGGAGATAATTGTAAAGGTGGAATACAGATGGAGATTTTTTTTTTAGAAACTTTGAGCGATTGATATTAAAAATCTTTTCTCTTTTCTTTTGTAAATTGTTGACAATGGTGATGAGATCTACGTGATTTCAAGGAGCTAAATGATGAACAGATAAACGACATAATGAGGTGTGAGTGAGTGAGTGGAGGTATGACTGATTTTTCAGATTATGAAAATTATGATGCGTGATGAGGCATCAATTCTTCGCTTAATAAAGTAAATCATGATTTAATTTTTGTCTCTGTGGTTGGAGATTTATTCAGCCCCTTTGATTCAGTATTTTTTGGATTTTCTTGGGGTGGGGAGAATCAGAAATTTAAATTCTGATGATTATGGATTGATAATTTATTGATAGAAAAATATGACAGGTGCAAAAAGTGATTCATAGATGAATGAGGTTAAGAAGTCGAAGGCCCTGGAGTATCTTTAGAGGTCCCTGGAGTATCTTTAGAGGTTCCTGGAGTATCTCTAGAGGTCCCTGGAGTATCTTTAGAGGTTCCTGGAGTATCTTTAGAGGTTCCTGGAGTATCTTTAGACGGAGCACTATAAAGAAATGGTTCATGCAATACGTTATATAATCTCTGGGCTTTCTGGGCTCCAAACCCAGGACAGAGGCAGATGGCGGTTGGCGTAGCCTTCAAAAGAGCTTCGAACGATCCAAACGTCCTCATCAATATCATAGCGTCGGTTTTGTTGACGGATCTGATGGTTGTCAATGCGTTCATGATCTGAAAAAAATCATATGGTTTATAAACCATTGACACACGTGCACAATTACCCATTCATCTTGTTAATGAGTATTTTTGGAAGAAAATGTCAAGAGATTTTTTTCGTAGGATATTTCTGCAACTTGAAAAATAGTCTTCTGAAATTTTCTTCTGGAGTCACTCATTCGGAAGATAAACAAGTCAACAACTGCATTTTTTAAAAATGAGTATTGTTGTGGTTGGTAATAAATTAGAAATTTGCTTTCAAATGCATTCTCGTTTTTTGTTTGGAATTCTTTTTTTACTATTTTCTTCTTTTGTTTTATGTTATAGAACAATCAAATTGAAATGACCTCGAAAGTTGGAGCATTATTTCGTATTATTACGTCGCATTGTGTTATTATTTTTAAATGATCCTATTATCAGACCCTCTTAAGACTCAAATTTGGTTTCAGTTAGGATTTAATTGAGATTCAATGAAGATTTACTCAAGATTCAGCCAGGGTTTAACCTGGGTTTAGTCGAGGTTTGAGTTGTTATTAATGCACAGCTCTCACTCATCTCCACGACGTCAATTAATTTAAGAAAGGTCAGAGGATATTGACGAACTAATTACGACGTTCATTAAATTATCATAGTGCGACCTTTCGCTAAATTACTTTAGCTTCATCAGGCTCTTGATGTCAGTTTACGCCTAGTCAAACTATTTCTACAAATGTTTGTGTCGAATGAATAGGAACGTGATTTACTCTTTGGTGAGGATCAGAATCCGGACGCTCCATAATCATATCAGGTGGCTTGTTCTCGTAGGATTTGTAAGTCTCTATGATCCTTGCTGCATCCTCGGCGCTCCACGCCAGCATCAACGTCAAATCAGCTAGAATGCATATTCTCGTGAGGTTTTTCAGTTGGTGATTAGGATCAGGAATGTCAATCTGCAAAAATGTCACGATTTTATTTTTTCCCAAGTTTCGTCTTTGAAAAAAATTTTTTCTTTATTCAAGAGATACACTGTTATAGCGGTTTTCTTGGCGTGTTTTTTTTCAAAACTTCGGACTTTTTTCTTAAATAAAGATCTCTTGCATTTTTCCCCTCAAATCAGTGCTAAATTGAATAAAAAGTGAGTTCCTCAAAAGTGAAAACATTTTTTAGCACACCCATAATTACAAGCTGGATCATTGGTCGATACTCGATGGAATATGCCGATTGTAGTTGTGTTGTCTTTTCTCTTAAATTTTGGTCGAAAATTTTCTCATTAGGTATCCTTCGAATTTCATGAATTTCTACAGGAATATCAACTTCATGAAGCTGTATCTGTTTAGGGGAGGCTAAAACGGACACTTGACTTTTTTTAAAATGTTAATGAGGGGTTGAAATGTTGATAAAATTTAATATATTTTTTTTTCAATACAAAGAACAATTATTTCCCTTTATGACGAGTCTAAACTGAGCTCAATTTATAAATCTGTTTCTGAGTTATGAATAAATAAAAAAAAAGTCTAGAGTCCATTTTACCCCACCCTCCCCTACAACTATAAATCTTTTTTGTCAGCGGCGAGGATATACAAACAAGAAGACGAGACGAGAGAAGGGGGTTCTCTCGTCAGCGAATACAAGACAAGACTAGATAGTTTCCGCTAAATGACCAGACAATACGACAGTGTAGCCTACTCTCGGCTTGCCTTGTTAGTCCCTTGATACTTGTCGATTCTTCATAGTTCACTATGACAAAAAAATGATCCTAATGTATTTCCGAACCCCTTCTTATACTGAAGAGCGTGTAAAGCCCCGGGAATGCGGTAAAAATCGATGGAAAAATGAATATTTACCTGAACGAGGAGAACCCTGAGCTGATAAGCATTCCCAAGAAGCTTCAAACGATCGTGGATGTAATCTGGATTCAACTGGTGGTATCTCAGCGAAAGGAACAATGTGCAGACACGTGGACCCATCACGTAATCCGGGACGATCTGCGAGTACGCCCAGGGCAGATTTTTCATGAATTTCAGGAGGGGATTTCCTTTCTAAACATTCAAACAATTTTTGCGTGGTGAGTTGCACATAACCCGTCATTTTTTAGCACCAAATAAATATACATTTCACTTTTTTGTGACTTTTTTCAAATAGTTTTGAGAGTTCTGGATAACCCGTTGCTTAAATCATTGGAATCAACGTTCACCCGGCTGAAAAATTCGATTTTGGCGAAAGTCGACTTTCCCCCTGGAAAAACCGAAAATCTGACCCTTGGGCTCCGGGTGAAAAAATTTTTATTTCAGTTTTCACTTTTTCCACATACTTTTGAGAGTTCTGAATAGCCCATCGCTTAAATGGTTGGAATCAACGTTCACCCGGCTAAAAAATTCGATTTTGGCGAAAGTCGACTTTCCCCCGAGAAAAACGGAAAATCTGACCCTTTGAAAATCTGAAAAAAAAAACTTTTTCAGTTTTCACTTTTTCCACATACTTTTGAGAGTTCTGAATAGCCCATCCCTTAAATAGTTGGAATCAACGTTCACTCGGCTAAAAAATTCAATTTTGGCGAGAGTCAACTTTCCCCCTGGAAAAATTCAAGATCTGACACTTTGGCCCTCGTGACCCTTGTGACCCTTTGACCGACTTTCCCCCTGAAAAAACCCAACATCTGACCCTTTGGCTCCGGGTGAAAAATTTTTTTTTTCAGTTTGCACTTTTTCCACATACTTTTGAGAGTTCTGAATAGCCCGTCGCTTGAATCTTCGGAATAAACTCACAGATAATCGAATATAATAAATTTCCCAATGAGTTCTATATAACCCGTCATTTTGGTTTTTCAACTGAGGTATTAGCATTCATTTTTAGACTTTTTTCAAATACTTTTGAGAGTTCTGGATAGCCCGGTGCTTCAATCGACGGAATAAACTCATGGATAATCGAATATACTGAATTTGCCAATGAGTTCCATTTAACCCGTCAGTTATTGACACCAAATGAATATACATTTCACTTTTTTTCATTTGTTTTGAGAGTTCTGAATAGCTCGTCTTGAATATTGATGAGGGCAGGTGAAATAGATTAAAATACCATCTTACTTGCTTGGGATTGACAAGAATCGTAAGTGAACTTGGCTTTGGTGCTGGAGCCGGCTTCGAACTGTCAGTTTTGAATTGTTTGGGGAGTGAAGGGCCGGCACTCTCCTTAGAAGTTGATGGTTTATCACTCATTATTTAAATAAATAATATAAATAATAACGTAGGAAGTGCGCAATTCATTCGAGCCCAGCTCAGAGTGTTTTGTGTAACTGTTGAATGTAAACAGTCCCTCTGCTCCCCCTTTTCTCAGTCAACATCACTATATTTTCACTAAATTTTCCCTAGATTTTTTGCTCCGATGGTAAAAACAATTAGGACTTTCCCGTAAGTTCACGTGTGTGTCTAAACAAAAATCAAAACTCATTTTTATAAGTGAATATTCAAGTTATTGTGGTGATAATCAGTGATGGCCAACATTAGAAATGTGGTATGTAGATTAATTGTTAAAATTTTTACGGAACTTTGAGACATGAGGATTTTTATTTTCATTTGTGGACATTTTTTGGTTATTCCCAACTATACAGAGGATGTTATGCTCTAATTTGAATGATTTATAGATTTTTTAAATGTTTCTTTAATTTTTTCTCACTTCAGCTAATTTATTGACACTTTTAGTTATTTCCAAAAAATATCCTCATTATTATCAATTAATTAATAATGCTAATCACTGCTCAATTAATTTCTCATCGTTGTTCTCAGACCGCTGACCAGTTGATCGCAGGTACCAGCGTTCTATCGAGACCTGCAGAGGAGTTCGAAAATGACGTATGTCACAATCAATCATCAATGAATTCTCCAAACTAATTAGGAACAATTAAATTTCTTAAACATCGTAAATTAATGTATTTCAGGCCTCTGTGGAAGCCCTGTGGGCGATGAAAGCCTTCGAACACGCAGAGATTTACTTTAACGTGAGTTGGAAAATAAATTTCCATTTTTTCAATTAACAAGTTCATTAGGGGCAACTGGAGAAACTTCAACTCTTCTTAAAAAATTTGGCACTGGCCCCTAACAGTGTTCAGGGATAAAGCCATTTGGAATAGAAGAACTCTTCTTAAAATGTGAATGACTCATTCAAATATTAATGAAAGCGGCTAATTTTTTTTCATGGAAGTCAATTGATAAATCTAATTGATCAATTCGAATCTTAATAACTCCATGAATTACTGATGGAATGACAAAATTCTTTTTCTTCGGAAAGTATAATCTTCTCCCTTTGTAATGAGCCTAGACCGAACTCAATTAATCAATTTGTCTCTGAGTTATGAACATTGAAAGTAAAGTAGTGTCTATTCTGCTTCATCATTAGTTTCAATGTAAAAGACCTATTTAATTTCTGATGAAATGGCACAACTTTTTACTCTTTCCTTTTTCCCCTGGAAAGTACAATTTTTTCCCTTTATGTCAAACATTGATGAAAAAAGCTCAAACTTTGCTAATTAACAAATAAGCAAAGTCAAATAAATATGATAATATCTATTAATAATGTCTTTATATGTCATATAATATATTTCTTATATGACACTCTAATAAATTAAAATCTTTCCAGATTCTCTGCTCCCTGGACCCAAAAATCCTCCGACTGACCCCCCACGACGACGCAATCTACAAAACCTTCCGAGAAATATTCCCAGATCTGAAAGTAGACGTGATCAACGAAGACGAGATGAAATCTCCAGAGGGCAAGAACAAGTGGAGGCCATTCTGCGAGCAATTCAAAGACCTCGTCGAGGATTACAGTATGGGAACACTCTTGAGAGTCGACTGCACTGACGAATACTCCGAGAAGAACAGTATCCTAGTCACCAGGATTCAGTTCTACGCGATTGAACTAGCGAGGAACAGAGAAGGCTTCAACGACTGCATTAGGAACAAATTCAAGCCCAAGAAAATTGTGAAAACATAGAACATCTCCAGAAGAGAGTTACTCCAATGAAAAATATGTTTTTCAGCTTAATTTTATAACGAAGAAAGAAAAAACGGATTCATTTCGTCTTAAATCTATTTTAAACATTTTATTAATTAAAAAATTGATAAGGTAACTGATTTATCTCATTTTCTCGTCTTGTTCTGAATTGTGAGGCTGACCAGAGGGTTTGAGGCTCTAGCCAGATGCTTGGATTTAGCAGGTGTAGCTCCAGAGGCAGGTGCATCCCTATTGAACTTGCGTTTTCTCTTTCCAAAACCTATGAGCCTCTTCAGCGACTCTGGAACTATGTACTCTGGGACATCCTTCAAGTGGGGCTGTATTTTAACAGTGTGAAGAGCTTTGTCTTGTCTCAGTGTCTGCAAGTCTCTGGGATTGTCGTCGAAGTAACTTTTCAATTTGTCACAGTTCAGGAGCTCTTGTTTTATTTCTTTCAATCTGGCTTCTCTCACTGCTATTCTTGTGACTGCCTTCCAGGCGTCTTTGGCTCGATATCTATTCAGAAAACAAAATTGAAAATTGATAATTCATGAGTGAAATTATTCGACATTTGGAGTATTGGAATTGGATTATTCAACTTCAATTGAACTTTTGATGAATATCTCTGAATCTAGAGGAGATAATGGAAGTTTGTTGAGGACAAGAAAGATAATTATGATTTTTTTTTCATCTCCTGTAGATTTAAAGATATTTATAAAAAACTGGAGGAGTGTACCATTAAAACATAATAATCAGCTTTTTAAGAACATTTAAATTTATTTATTAACCATTTTGCAAAGATCTGTTATTAAAACTTTGAAGGCCTCAATTTGATTCTTCATTTTCAACCTTTAGGAATTACTTTGAAAAATTGGCAAATATTACTACTTTTTGAATATTCATAAAAACCAATTGAAAGGTTTTTTATTCATTTTTTCGCTTTATAGACCATAATTAGGGTATAACCGATGTATTCCGCAAGAGGAAATTTGGCTCTAAAGTTTTTCCCAGAATTGGTACAATTTTGCTGAAATATAAAAATCTTATTCAATAAGATTTTCAAATATTCAAGCCATTATCGATCAATAAGCACTCAATGTTGCAATAATTCTTCGCAAAACATAGTCTGAATGGCGTTGATTATCAACGACTATCTTCAAATTTTTTTCTCTTCCACATCAATTACAAAATCACATCAATCAACGTATATTCCAAGACAATAGCACCAAAGAGTTACTTAGAACCCCGCATTTAATTATTTATTATCTCTTAAAGTGTGCAGTACAGCTAGTTAGATTTCCTTTCAATAGCTTGGGAAAATTATAAACATTATCGATGAAAAAAATAAGGAAAATCTCAAGAACAACGTGTTTTCTAGGGATATACTTTAAAGAATTTGCAATCATTAAAAATCTCCAAATAAAAATTACCTGAATCCCTCGACCTCCTCCAGCTTGAACTGATAAGTCTTAAACAGGCTTTTCTTCCCATAGCTCCCCTTGAGCGTCTCCTCGACCTTCTCCATCATCTCCCTCTCCCTGATGGCGACAAAGCTGAGAGCAGTCCCCTGGCTCTTCCCCCTGGCAGTTCTCCCAACCCTGTGCACATACGAGTTGACATCGAGTGGAAAATCAAAGTTAACGACATTCGACACGAACTGGAAGTCAATGCCCCTGGCGACCCCACTCTCCTTGTCCTTCCGCCTCTTCCCCTTCTTCTCCTTCGCGAGGTGCGGCTCCTCGAGGGCTTTCTCATCAGAAGCGATGATGATATCATAAGTTCCCGAGTTGAATTGTGTGACAGCTCTGCACCTGGACGTGGCAGGCAGCTCAGAGTTCAAGACACAAGTTGGAATGCCAAACTGCTCTAGAAACAGCTTCAACTTGTAGCACCTATCCACGGTATTAACGAAGATGATGGTCTTGCCCCTGATCAGGTGAAGTTTCAGTAGCGAGTAGAGAATGGCTGCTTTGTCGTTCTCCTCAGCAGCAAGACTGTAATGGGCGAGTTGTGATGGCGGCGCCAGTGGTGCCTCCTGCAGCTTCAATGTCGCTGGATTGTGGAGAACAAGTTTCTTCAGGGAGAGAACATCGTCCGAGAGAGTTGCTGATGCCAGGGCAGCCTGATAGACAGTTGGAAGGTGCCCCAGGACCTTCTTAACTTCGCTCTCGTAGCCGAAGGAGAAGATCAGATCTGCCTCGTCGATAATCAATGTTTCAAGACTCTCCTTCAAGTTCATGTGGCCAGCCTTGAGGTGCTTGAGAGCCCTCCCAGGGGTGCCCACGACTATGTCCGGGTTCTCAGCTAGGATTGACCGGTGAATGGAGAGATCCATTTGACCACTGATGTCCACGCTCATCACCTCGCGGGAGCATTTTATCGTCAGGTCTCTGAGCACCTGGTGGATCTGCTTGCAGAGCTCTTTGCTGGGAGCTAGGATCAGCGCCTTCGTTTCTTGTCTCGTTTGGAGGGACTTGTTTGAGAGAATTTTTTGGATGAGGGGTATTGTGAAGGCTGCTGTCTTCCCCGAGCCTGTCCTCGCGCGGATTAGAACGTCCTTTCCTTCGAGGAGAAGGGGAATTGTTTTCTCTTGGATGGGAGTTGGCTCTAGCCATCCTAGCTTTGCTACTGCCTGTAAATAATTGAATATTTCTCATTTTGAGGGTGAGTTCTAGATAATAACGTCACTGCATACTGGTTATGTCGGGGTATTTAGGGACTTTCAAGTTTCTTTCACAGTTTGGGAGAGAACAAATCAGTAGCGAAGTGGGGAAACGGTTTAAGTTGACTTATCTCCCAGTTTTTGAGGAATATTTCGGACTCTAAGGGAGATAGCGAAATTTTCATCATTATATTTGTTGCAGGTCTCAATCGGCTCTACAAAAAAGGTTATGAGAAAAATTTTGCTATCTCCCTTAAATTCCGAGATATTCATTGAAAACTGGACAATAGTCAAAATTGACTTAAACCGTTTTACCACTTCGCTACTGAAATTTGGCAATTAAATTACGCGAGAAAATTTGGAAAAAGATGATGAATATTTAGCTTCATTCAAATTATATTTTGTGCGGAATTCTTGTTCTTTTGAACATTCGTTGTTTATAAATAAATAATTGTAATTGTCCCATTTCCGGTGAGATTCTGAATATGAGTGAATTTGTTACGACTCTGAACAAATGATTTTTATGGAGAAAAATTGATAGTTTATGAATTATTTATAAAAAATGCTCGTAATTTTTGAAAAATTGTAGGGGAGTATTGGTCAGTTTTCAACGAATATCTCGGGATCTAAGGCAAATAGCAAAATTTTTGTTATAACCTTTTTTGAAGAGCGAATTATGAGCTACAAAAAGTTTATTATGAAAATTTTTTTATCTCCCTTAGATTCGAAGATACTCCTCAAAAACTCAGCTAAGAGCCGATAATTCGACTTCAAGTGTTTTATCGCTTTGCTACTGAATTTGTGAAATCTTATGACAAGATAGAAATGAATATGAACATCAATTTTTGTTATTAATTTAGGGCATAATAGATTAACCTCATCATTAATTTCACGAATCGAAAAATGATGAAATTCGGCAATTAAATTTGAAATTCTAATGCTTGCAGATGAATATTCTTCTACGACTTCAACAAAATGAAGTAAAAATAGTTGAAAATTATTTCTTGTGTCAGAATGAAAGAAAGAATTGAGTTGATCACCTGATGATTGAGTATCAACGACGTTTACCTTTAAAATTCTGTCATCAAGCCCCAACTCGTGGAAACTGACGACTTTTTCTTCACTCTGCTCCTCAGTCTGCATTTCCCCATCAGAATCCATAGTAAATTGATTTAAAAAACTGTTTTTTTATCACTGAAAGCTCTTGACACGTGTTTTTGTTATTATTGAAATCCCCTAACCTCAATAGAAATACAAAAAGAAAAAAGTTGTCATGACTCGTTTACATGGGAGCGAATCGGTGCGAAATCAGTGATTGAGGTTATATTTGGCTTGTTGCTGTTCGTATTTTGAACGTGAACCACACACCCCACATGAACCTCACGATCAAAACAAAATGTTTGTTTTAACAGAGTTGAAAGATGTTGTTAAAATTCCACCATGGAAGTTCAAGAGAAAATTCAACGATGCTATTGCTGATGAATTGAATCGAAAACTTGCGAACAAGGTAAAGTAATCATTATGTCTTCTGGTAAAATTGCGAATGAGCGAGGTTAAGGAAAATTTTGATTATCCAAAATTACAAGACTCAAAAAATTTTTGATTTTTTATTCTACTGATAGACAGAGTTATCTTCCCCATGTTCATAAAAACTTTAATTCACTAACCCGAGTTGATTATTTAAAAATAAAATAGACAATATGCATCGAATGCAAGCGTTGGCATGTGGTTACATGGGACTCACAATCTTAAATATCTGCATTATTTATCTAATTGCCCCGATATTTTTCTTGACCATTGGATTCAGCATATTTTTTCACATCGCCCTCTATTGAATTTTTTATTTGTGGAGTCTCCCAGTAGATAAACAATCAATTTGAAAACAAATGTCATAAGAGCCGGTGTATAAGAAAAAATTGTTCACTTCGTTATTCGTCAATGTTACTGCAACTAATTCGTTTTAATTATCAGAAATGTTGGTTTCAGATGTTCCCCTATCAGTCTAAAAAAATACAGAAGTTTCCGCAGAAATGGTTATCCAAAAACACACAAGACTCAAAATTTTTTTCATTTTTTATTCAACGTATAGACAGAGTGGGGAGTTATCTTCCCCATATTCTTAAAAACTTTAATTCACTAACCCGAGATGATTATTTAGAAATAAAATAGACATAACATGTTAACATGTGGTTACATGGGACTCAAATATCTGCATTATCTGCCTGGTTACTCCGATATTTTCCTTGGCCATTGGATTCAGTATATTTTTTCACATAGCCCTCCATTTTTATTTTTATTTGTGAAGTCTCCCAGTAGATAAACTATAAACTAAAAACGAAATCTCGTAAGAGCCCTTGTTTAAGAAAAAAATTGTTTATTTCGTTTCGTCAATGTTACTGCAACTAATTCTTCCTAATTATCAGAAACGAGATTTCTAATCAGCACTATATTTTATTTTTTTTAGTAATTTTTAACTTGCGATTTTTTGATTGGCACAGAAAATGTTGCATTAAATAGCTCCTCTCCCTCAGTGTATTGATTAATTTCTATAATTTTCTCTTCTGTTCCAGGTGTATTTGAATGTAGGATTATGTATAGCACTTCACGATATTCTAAAAATTGAAGAATCATTCATCTTCCCTGGAGATGGCTCATCACACACTAAAGTCTCGTTCAGGTTCATCGTTTTTCGACCTTTCATGGAGGAAATACTCATTGGAAAAATAAGAAGTTGCAGTCCAGATGGTGTGCATGGTAGGATTCTCCATTTTTCTCTTTTATCCCTCAAAATTTCATGCGAAGAGAATCTTATGATTTTTTTTTCAATGTCCACAGTTACCCTAGGATTTTTCGAAGACATCATAATCCCTCCCCACAAATTGCAGTATCCCTCGAGGTTCGACCAGACCGAGCAGGCTTGGGTTTGGGAATATGACACTGGAGATGGTGAAAGGCATGATCTTTTCATGGATGCAAGTAAGTTAATCCTTGACAATGCAATTGCATAACCCTTGAGTTACTTCAGGCATTACAATCAATTTCTTCTTTCTTTTTACAAGACGAGATAATCAGATTCCGAGTTGTCAAAGAGGAATTCGTCGAGACTCTGCCTTCAGCCCCAACAGTCGCTGGGGAAAATCCAGAGGCTCCAGAAAATAAAACCGTTTCACCTTATACGTTAGGGGTAGGTTTAAACAATATATTATGAACATAAAAATGATGAAAAAAATAAGACAAACTAAGAGACTTAGGCCCGGTTGCACCAGCTCCGGGTAACGAAAACGTCAGATAAGAAAAAATGTAAATTTGGATGTTCGATGGATTATTTTACCCGGGAGAGTATCTCAAATTTATCTCAGGAACAAAAAATAAAATTTAATCCCAAGGTTAAATCAATGTTAATTCAAATGGGGCTGCAGGGTAAATAAAAAATTATTCTTCGGGTCTAATATTGAAAAATTATGACCCCTACGATATAATTGATCCGGAGGATAAATTACAATAACATGCAATATGAAAAAATATACTGAATCCAATGGCCAAAGAAGAACGTCTCCCCAGACAAATAATGCAGTTATTTAAAACTTTAAGTCCCATATAGGCTGAAGAAGATAATTTTGTCTATTATTTGCAAAAAATGAAAATTTTTTCCAATGCTTGCAATTTTGGATATTAATTCTTAAGTTAACGTTAATTAATTTTCATTTTCTCTTTTTTTCAGGCAGCTATCGATGAAGCTGGTTTAGGCTTAATTTCCTGGTGGGAGAACAGCTGAAAGAGGAGTACAAATGAGAATGCCACAACTCATGTTCCAAAGGAAGTGAGAAAATAAAAGAAAGGTAAAGAGAGCTAAGAAAGTACGACTAATTGAACTTTATGGACAACATTCCTTTTATTCCCCCATTGCCAGTTAAACTTTGAGTTCAACTCTTAATTCTAGAAAAATCTAACCCATAGGATCACAAAACACTGTGAATTCATTAAATATTATTAAATATGTGATGTGGTAATCTTTATTTCTGCCTTTTGATTAAATGTGTCGCATTATTATTTGTACAATATATACAAACACCTCTGTCGAGCTCACAGAGCATACGAGGATAATACGCAACAACTTTTATTAGTCATATCGTTTTATTTCTCATGAGTTATTATCCAGTTATGTAAAAATTTTGTATCGTCTGGACTAACTGTTATCTAAATGTCAATTTCATTTCCTTGTTCATTAATTTCCTTCACTTTTCACATTTTCTGTGATACATTGTCCCTCTGCATGTGTTTTTTGTACTAAAGAACAATCCAAATCAGACGAACATTCGTATTTCTAACGAATAATAATTATTTAACATTTATCCATTGAATTTTCACGTCATTGAGGAAATCCTCTGAATTTTCACAATTTTCATCGAATTAAATTAATCATCAACGATATTTTTGTTCCTCAGAATCTTCTCAACCGAATAGTCGGTTAAAAATAATAATTACATTCAACAGAATCTTATTTAAACATTTAGTAGATGAAGAAATTCTTGTCATTTGATAAAACATCAAAATTACATTTTTAATGACAAATATTTTATGATTATTCACGAAAAAAATCCCCTCGAATTTTTAAAAATTCATCATGTTCAATTAAATTCGAAGTTACGTATTGTCGGGTGACACTCAACGTAAGGATCTAAATACTAAATCTCCTCCCGATGATTTCAACAACTCTGGAATGTTCTCTCACAAACACACACGTCTCTCAATTTTTGTTCATCCTCTAGAACTTGACTAGCATTCAAAACTTTAGTTCGTAATATTATTCTTTTTATAGTGTCTTCAGCTCTTGAACGAGCAAAGCAGACATTTGAAGCCGCCGAAACGTTCAGTCACTAAATACATGGTAATTAAAAAATGAAGAGAGATTAAAGTATACAATATAAATTTATCACAGTCCTAACTGGCGTGCCTTGTGTCTCACAATGTGTATTTTTCATAATTCTTTAAATATCGTTCATGATCTCTCCCTAATGCCTTGATTATTGCAGAACTTGTCCCTTTATTTCGTCACTAAATGGAAATTCACATGAATTTATTCAATTTTTCATATATTTATCGTGAATACCTAGGGAGAAACATCTCACAAATGTGCAAATTAAAACTTTTCATTCCATTTAATGACGAAATACTCCAGTCCTGTGTGTCCGGATTTTATAATGATAATAGTGAGAGAAAACTTTGAGGAAAAAACTATTCACAAATATAAAGCCAACCGACCCATTTTGACGATGGCCGAGAGGTTGCGGGGTGTTTCATGAAGTTTCTACGCCAAGGGTTCTCCGCGAATATCAACGAGTGCACTCTACGGAGCGTTAACAATGCTGTCCTCTTCCACTATTTCTAATTTTACCTATTTTTGGGTTTCTTTCATTCCTTATTGTTAAAGCAATTTCTTTTTTGTTGCGTAAAACTGAGTAAAAAAAGCGACACTTTAATCATTAAATGCAAACGATGAACTCTTGGACGTAGACAACTCGATTGGTATTATATTCAACAGTTTCATCGTATAAAGTGGGACAGCGTGTATTAAAAATTGCCTAGTTACTAAAAAATTGAATCACCGTTTTGTAACAACTGTTTATCCCAGCGAAATCATGGTTTTTTATCCATTTACTTCCATTTTTTTTATCGAAAACTTAAACTTGAACGAACGATGCATTTGGCTTAGAATTGGTTTTCTCCTATTTATTGAATATTCTTCCTGAGCATTTTTCAAGGTAATTTTTTCTTACTCAATGATCAGACAGCGTGGTAGATGCTCACGCAGGTAATCGAATAGTTCGCGTGATGTGCCTGGACAATTTGTTAATTCGAGTTCTTGGAGGTGACGGAGCTGGATGAGGCTTGATAGACCACTGCTCGTTAGTAAGGGGCATCCTGAAATTTTTTTGGAAATGATTTAGGTGGTGGTTTGGAGGCGATGAAATGATATGCGAATTTTTTGCTTAGAAATTCATTCGAATTTTAATGGGTTTTCACGAATACAAAAATTAATTAGTTTCAAATTATTCCTCGGCTCAAATTTAAATTTTTTTCATGAAAAAGAAGGAAACTAGAGTAGAAAAAACTTGGGAAATTCATATGAAAGAATTCCTTTAGAAAATGTACAGAAAGATGAAATTCTACTCATTTTCTCTGAAAAATAGTTTATATTAGGGGTTCCATAGAACAAAAGCGTAGAATCTTCAATAGGTGTTCAATCAAAATTTAATAGAATTTTTTTCGTCTGTGCTACTACGTCGCAAAAAAATTACTTTCTAGAGAGAATTCATTTTTTAGGAGTGTATTCAAGCCAGTCATTCACAGGTGGTCCATGTTCATCTCCAAGTCTTACAATTTTATGTTGAGTTATGAGATAATGATGCCACATATGACCTTGAATAAATTCTCTACACTATTTTTCAATTTTTTCCAATTTGAGATTTTCTTATGTAAAATAATTTCGAATAATTCTAAATGTTAATAACTGTCAATGGAGTTCATCACCTGGGAATGACTGACGTGAAGAAATACGCTCCTAAAAATGAATTTTTCTCCCAAGAAAATGATTTCTTGGCAAAAGTATTTTTTTTTCTCAGTGCGCTCACACGTTAACATAATTCTCAAAAACACTGAAAAAAAAATTATTTTTGTCAAATATCCATTTACTTGACACATCTGTTTAGTTTGTCAATACCATATTTCTCCTGTCGAGTCATTCCCAGACAATCCTCATTAGGCTTCAATTATAACAATTATATTGCTCTAGAAAATGATCATATTAGTTACGACCTTGAGTGAACTCCTTCAATAATTATCAACATAAAAAAATTAATCAAAATTGTTCCCTCTAGAAAATGAGAAATTTAGGAAAAATTAATAATTATTGAAGTAGTTCATTCAAGGTTATGTACAGCATAATCATCCTCTAGAGCGACATGAATTGTCATAAATTGAAAGCCAATCGGTCTCACCTGAAAATGACTCGGTTGAAGAAATTCAATTTTGACAAAATGAATACTTCTCTCAAGTAAATTAATGTTTGGCAAAAATAATTTTTTATCTCAGTGAATTCTCGCTACAAAACTCTGCGATATTCTATGCTAATTGACATTCTCACCTGCAACTGAAAGAACGAGTAATGCCCTCATGCCGCACAAATGCTGCAGTCCAAAGTCCCTCAATTGTGAACACCACCTCAGAAACAATGCATTCAGGGAACTCATGGTCGATATGTACCCAACTCCAATATCCGTCACATGGACACACCTTGAAAAACGTTAAATTTCAGTATTGGACGGATTGCCAAAGTATTTCTAGTCTCGAAAGGGCAAATGGACGGGAGGAGGAGAAAAATCGAAAGCATTCCACGTCAGCACTCACGTTGATTTTATGGCAGAGTTTCAAATGGCAAAAAGGCAGAGAATCTCAGATGCAGTCGCGACATTTTTGGGTGAATTTCTAGAGTTGTGCAGTCAATAATAAAAGAGGAAGAGTCCCCACTTATGAGAATGAATTTACTACCTCAAGATACACGGAGATAAAAATTACTACACAAGTCAACTAATCCCGGAGCAATATTCGAGGTCTTTTGACTCCATATCAAGGAAAAAAATGCTAGACTAATGGTGATTTTTTTCTCCACTTGCTCTGCAAAACTTAATAAATTTCACGGTAATTTGCCCTGAAATAATCAAATTTATCCTAAAATTCCATAAAAAATTACGCCAGCGAATATAAATGATTACATGATGTCTAGAAATTTTTCTGTCGCAGAGAAGAATTGTTTTACCAAACACTGCAGAGTAAATTTTTACTTTCGTCCCTTCCCACACTGAGAGAAATATTTTTCTCATCACTAGGGCGTAAAGTGAAATTTTACGCCCGCTCCGCGTGCACAAGTAGACTCGATTGAAGAAATACAATTTTGAAAGAAATAAATGCATCTCTCAAGTAAATGAATATTTGGAAAAAATAATTTTTTCTCTCAGTGTTTAGGAAAAGTAATCCTGGAGCGAGGCTTTTCCTGTAGTTGACTCTTTCCTTTTTCCTCTAGTATTTTCCGAGATATTCTAAATGATTTTCCTCCTCGTCTCTCCCTGCATCTTTCCCATGCACCAGCAACATCTGAACTTGAATCCCAAAAAATAGGTAACGAGACCCGTAAAATTAATCTGACCCGTGCTAATTTTGCGCCAAAAGGATTTATCGTTACCCAGTGACACGCAGATTGCGCGTACATGCCAAGACATTAAAGATAAGACGAAGAACGCAGTATTTTACAACGTCAGGTTCTCGTGACCAGCCAAAAGCTTGAGTTTAACGTGACGGACTATTAGATTTGACGGGAATTTCACAATAAAGGTTGATGGCAGTTGATGGACTCTAGCGATAACTCACTTTTTCTCCACTGCATCCTCAATTTCTTTAAATAAAGACATTGCAACACCTCAGTAACAGGGGGGCGTAAGTGTTATGGGCTGCCTGTGCTGATACGCTTGTTTGTTGCTGAGGTGTCGACTCTGTTTTTTTGAGGAGTACGAGTCTTTCATAGAAGACAGTATACTATTCAGTAGTGAAGCGGTAAAACGATTCAAGCCGATTTTTACTATTGGTCATTTTTCAATGAATATCTTGAAATCTGAGGGAGATAGCAAAATTTTTGTCAAGACCTTTTTTGTAGCCCTCAATTCGCTCTCCAAGAAAGGTTCTTACGAAAATTTCGTTATCTCCCTTCGATTCCGAGATATTCCTCGAAAACTCAGCTAACGGCACATAGCACCACTTTGCGATGCGAAAACGTGAAGAAAGTGGGGCTTTTTTATGTAGACATCCACAAATATTGAAAAAATAAATACGGAGAATGCTCTGTGCCGCGTGACGAACCCCGAGAAAGTATGAGATTGAATGGGTTTTCTGACAAATTCGAGAAAATTATTCATTTTTCTAGAAAATCAATTAACAACACTTCCCTTATTTTTCAACAATCACGAGTATTGATCGAGTTACTTTAAAAATTCAAATGTGATCATTCAATTCTACGTATCATTGATTTTCATAATGCATGCCTGAGTGGACGACATGCAATAGATTTAACTTATTCATTGTCACATTAAATAATGCTGAATCGTGAACATCTCACGATTGAAATGAAGAAAAGGATGTCCCAGTCAAGTAAACCACAAAATGCAAAAACTTACCTATCAAGTATAAGTTCTTCCAACTGATTGAGATCGCACGCAATGTTCTCCAGCGCAGAATCAGTTATTCTGGAGCACCAGCTCAAATCGAGTGACCGTAGTCTCGGTAAATTTTCCGCAATTAATTCCACCCCATCGTCCGTAACTTTGCTGCATCCCGACAGCGACAGAACCGTCAAATTGGGCAGCGAATGCACTGCAACGACGAGGAAAATAATTGAAACGTTATAATAGGAACTAAATCAATTAATCTATCTTCCCCGTATAAATAAGCCCCAGGCCATTGTCCCCAGTCCCCAGAACATGAGACGAAGGCGCTGACAGTGGGCTAAATAAAACCCTCTAAATTTGTCGCATCAATCTTCACTTCCAAAGAGAAGAAAAAATTGGACGAACGAAACAGTTGTAACTCGAGGATTAAAGGGGAGTGTGGACCTCACCTATATTGACGACACCGTGATTAGTCAATTCCCAGCAGGACTGGAGTCTGAGGATGCTCAGGGAACTGCTCTGTTTGGCACTGAAGTAGCCCAGTGCTGCATCGGTGACGTGATAGGCTTGAAGGGAGAATTCGTAGAGACTTGGTAGTAATTGGGCTACTGCACCCACCGCCTCGTCCGCTACGTTTATACAGTCTGACAGCGATAGGGAGACTATTCGGGGTGTTAAACATGCCCACAGACCTGCCTCCGTTATTTCGTTACATCCGGCAAGCTCCAATTCGAATAATGCCTGGAATAAGAATCATTTGAGGGTCGCAACTATTGAAAAATCGTATAGAATTTTTCTATAGGGATTGCCTACAGAAATTGTATAGGATTTCGGTATATGATATTCGGATATTTCTATACGAATTATTTCTATACAGAAATTTTTACATAAATTTTTGTTTTCATACGAAAGATATCTAAACGCTCCAGAGAAAAACGCAGAGAAATGTCGTAACTCCATACGAAGTGTTTCTATACGTGTGGCAGTGGGTCGTATTGGATCAAACTTGTAGAAATTGTGTAGAAATAATTTGTATAAAAAATATCCGAATATCATATACGAAAATCCTATAGAAATTCTACACGCAATCCGTATAGAAAATTTTTACACGGTTTTTTCATACGTGCGGTCAAGGTATATCCCGAGAAAACACATTTTTCTTAAGATTGTCCCCATCTTTTTCATAGATAAGGGAAGATGGGGCAAAATGGAACGGTTTGTGACCTTCTCCAAATTCACATATTTTCGTTTATAAACAAAGACACCGGTAATTAGACAAGATCACAAAACGCTCCATTTTGCCCCACCCTCCCCTAATATTTATAATAGCTCGCAGCTGTTAGAAAAAATGCTAACTTATTGTACTACACGGCACTGTTGAAAATTTTCGTCTGAAATTTGCGGTACACTTTTTGGAAATTTTTATCAAATTTAATTACCACTGAAATTTCAAGGAATTTCGTCATTGAAAATTCAAAATTTCGAGGAAAAATCAAAGAGAACTGTAGATTCCGTTCCATTTTTCCCGGAAAATGAATAGAAAACCAGGAAATTCGAAACTCTAAACTCCTAACAGTGAGTTTAGGAGATAATAAATAATGAAATCCGGGCTTCTAGCACGTGAGGCATTTCCCTCCTATTAGAAAATGGTTTTTATGATGTTCTTAAAAATTCAATCCGTGATCGATTGATAAATTCCGAATGTGGTGGATTTTCTGTAAAATTGTGTACTACACAGTTTCTGCGATATTCAACTGTAAAAAAAATTTTGTTCGGCACAAATAAGACTTGTTTGAGAACTTTGTCGGTTTCCTCTCAGCAGTGTACACAAATTTGTCAAGTAGTTTTATCTGTTACCTGTAAATGATCCAGAAGTGCTTCCAGGCCCCTATCAGTAACTGAACAGCAGCGCAGTGATAACGAATGCACGTGCCTCTGTGCCATGGGAAAACTGTGGGTTAATTCGGGTATGTCCTCATCAGCTGCCCCAAGTAATACCAAAGAATGAAAACCACGTCTGACTAATGAGGCATAGAGCTTTGTTCTTGATCCTGACGGCATTGCCCTCACCTCCCTGCACCTTACGACAGGCACTAGACCAGACCAGAATCGCGGGCGTGCATACAAAACGTCTCGCCACCGAGTGCAAACCTGAGGAGAGAATTTTAATCATTGAGGGGGAGGAAAAATTATGGCCTTTGAAGAAATTCTATAAAATTCAACTTCAAAGGATTTGAAAGAACTTGCTTAGAGGAAAAGAATCCGGGATATTGTTCTTAATACAAAACTTTTTTTCAATTCACAGTTAGAATTTTGACATTAAAAGGTAGAGAATAATTATGAACTAACATTTATCCGTTAATTCTCTACGATTTCAACTGAATTAAATTAATCATCAACGACATTTTCGTTCCTCAGAATCTTCTCAACCGAATAGTCGGTTAAAAATAATAATTACATTCAACAGAATCTTATTTAAACATCTAGTAGAAGAAATTCTGTCTTGTCATTTGATAAAACATCAAAATTACATTTTTAATGGCAAATATTTTATGATTATTCACGAAAAAAATCCCCTCGAATTTTTAAAAATTCATCATGTTCAATTAAATTCGATGTTACGTATTGTCGGGTGACACTCAACGTAAGGATCTAAATACTAAATCTCCCCCCGATGATTTCAACAACTCTGGAATGTTCTCTCACAAACACACACGTCTCTCAATTTTTGTTCATCCTCTAAAACTTGACTAGCATTCAAAACTTTAGTTCGTAATATTATTCTTTTTATAGTGTCTTCAACTCTTTAATGAGCAAAGCAGACATTTGAAGCCGCCGAAACGTTCAGTCACTAAATACATGGTAATTAAAAAATGAAGAGAGATTAAAGTATACAATATAAATTTATCACAGTCCTAACTGGCGTGCCTTGTGTCTCACAATGTGCATTTTTCATAATTCTTTAAATATCGTTCATGATCTCTCCCTAATGTCTTGATTATCGCAGAGCATGTCCTTTTATTTCGTCACTAAATGGAAATGCAGATGAATTTATTCAATTTTTCACATATTTATCGTGAATACCTAAGGAAAAATCTCACAAATGTGCAAATTAAACCTTTCCATTTCATTTAATGGCGAAATGTTCCAGCGAAATATTTCCCGAGCATAACAGACTTAAATTCAGATCTTTGAAGTTCAGATAATAAAATCGTTGCAAAATGTTCGCAGATGTAGGCTCAAATGGCACTTTAATGCTCCCTCGAATGTTTTATTCCAAAAATTGGGAGTGATTTAAACGAAAGAGAATCGCCCGAGATGAAATAAATTCGGCGAAAATAGCCCTCAACGCATGAATTCCGATTATATTTACCTGTGCCAGTATTCGTCTCTCGGTGGCATTGAAATACAGGAAAAATCGGCTCAAAAAATGATCATCTAGTATGAGTTGCTCCCAGGAGGTAGGTGGAAGATATCCACCAGTGCCACCACTGGCAAGAGGTACATGTTTCGCACGATTTCTCGATATTCTTCCCCTCACAGCAGCACTGTTGTTGGAAAGTCCCTTGTTGTTAGCAATATTAACTGGATTATTAACAGGCAAGGGGGCACTTCTACTTGGCTTCTCTGGTGTCATGTTCGCGTTATTCGTGCTACCCAGATTGGTGTATGCAACACCACCACCACCGCCCCCGCAGAACACGTTTGTCACGCGTTCCATTACGCTAGCCTTACCACCCCCTGCAATTACACAAGCCTCGGTTGGTAAATTAAGAACAATAAAGGGAGAAAGTTTTTTTTTAACTCTCTCCTTTTACCTTTTGCAGCGAGAAAAATCGATACAGCGATTACACTTTTTTTTTTATGTGGAATTTTTCACTTCTGTGAATGTTAGACCACTTGGAACTATCTGCAAATTTGTCCAGCACTCCAGCGATAAAATTCTTATGCTTTTATCTGCGGAGTCTCGTTGAGAATTAAATTTTTTTTCGTGGAGAGCAAATTTCCTCATGAATAATTCAATTTTTATCTCATTTCGCGGGAAATGCGGGACTCGTAAATTCACAGACATTAAATTCCGTATCGCAGGGAGGAAGGTTTTCTTGGATCGAGAGTATTGTCTTCAATTTGAGAACAATTTGATGATTTCGAAAAAGGAAAAAATTTAGGAGAAATATCTCGCGTTTTCCTGGATGAATTCTAAGTTGAAAATCATGCAATTTTGCAAAAAATTAAATGGATTTTTATTTTTCTACAGAAATTTTTGAAAATAGAAAATGGGATTCAAATAAAAATTCAATAGAATAATAAAAAATATTTTCACACGTGTACTCTTGAAATATTCAATGAAAACATTGAAATTTGCAATCTGGATCGGAAGAAAATGAATAACTTTCATAGAAGTGCTAGGTTTTTCTGTTGACTTTTATCATTCGTGTGACAAAAAATTCTAGAGGTCATGGAAAAACCTACCTATAATATATCAGAAAATTCATGAACGATTTGGTCTTAAATCGTATTAAAATTCACAGAATTCAGTAGCCAAGAGGTGAAATGGTTTGAGGATGTCCAAGTATTTTTTACAGTGTAGTACAAACCACACAATAGATTCTATCATTGTCAATCATCAAATTTGTCAATTAAATTGCGTTAAAAAAATTGGAAAAAATCATGAATATTCAGCGTCAATCAAATTGCATTTTGCACAGCACTATTATTTTTTAAAACATTCATTGTTTGCAAATAAATAATTGACATTGAATTCGGAATATGAATAAATTTGTTGCGATTCCGAACACATAATTTTTATGGTGGATAATTTATTGTTTATAAATTATTTACGTAAAGCGCTCATAATTTTCAAAAATCGTAATTTGTAAATTTTGTTAGATTTTTAAAATGTTTTTTAACCGTGCAATATCGAGATTCAAATTGCGACCTGCAAAGTTCAAATAATAAAACTATTGTAAAATGTTCGGAAACGTGAGGTCAAATGGGGCTCAAATAAAAGCTCCGATGTTCGACAACTAAAGTAGAAAATCATTTCACTGGAGAAAAAATAGCCAAAGTACTTGGATATCCTTAAGTCGGCTTAGCCCTCAGCTGACGTTTCGAAAAACCTCTCCGAATCTAAAGAAGATCATGAAATTTTCGTAGTAACCTTTTTCATACAGCGAATTCAGGGCTATAAAAAAGGTCATAATAAAAATTTTGCCATCTCTTTGTCAAAATATACTTAAACCTTTTTACCTCTTCACCACTGAATTAAAAAAATTACACGTGGCCCTCACTCAAACTGAAGAAAATTCCCAACAGGATGACATCCCATTGACTAATTCCACTAAAAAAACATGAAAACATTCCTAATTGAAAACAGCCGGTCCGTCCTGCCCCAGTAATTTTCAGGCTATTGCAAAAATGAATTCCATCAAATAGTTTTCCATCACGGGGCACAACAGGTCATCCTTAGAATAAAATCTGTCGGTCGTTTCGCTGAAGTGAAAAGCCAATTGTTCTTCGAATTGAGGAAAAAATACTCTGGATTGAAAAAAATTATCTCCTCTGTGTGATCTAGTTTAACTCAACATATTTAATGTAGATAGTAGCGTGTGTGAACATGTGAATGGTGGTTTGTACGTATAAAGAAACAATAATCACACATAGTGACAAATTGTGTAAGAACCGTGGCTCCGATAAAATAATCTTCAAAGGTTTGTGCTCAAGACTCAACCGCGCTCCAACGACTCTGACGATTTCAATAAACAAATGCTGATGGACATTTCCCATCGCTGTGAGTGGATTAAGGAGTGAATGAAATTATGCAACCGATGATTAATCCAAACGAAAGGGGATTTCGTAGGAACCCTGGCAATGTTCCAGCGAGAGAAAGAGTATGCATCACTCGAACAAGGCAACTGTACATGCATTATACCCTTGCTGCGTCGTTGGAACGAGGTAGAGGCAGATAATTCATTTCACAAATTTAACGATGAAGATTGCCGAATGAAAATTTCTGATGGAAGTGTCCGAGACTTAAACTGTACCCGAATTCTTTCTATTATTTTCCTGTTTTATTTTATTTCCTAGAATTCAGTAGGAAAACGGTAAACCGGGTCAAGTCGATTTTGACTTTTGGCCATTTTTTATTATATCTCGGAATCTAAGAGAGATGGCAACATTTTGCCCATGACCTTTTTTGTAGGGCCAACTGAGGTTTACGAAAAAGATCGTGACAAAAATTTTTCTATCTCTTTTAGATTCCGAGATATTCGTCAAAAACTGGGCAATAGTCAAAATCGACTTAATCCTGTTTACCGCTTCAGTACTGAATTGCTGGGTTTTCTTTGTTTCATTTCATTTTATTCAGCAAAATGATCAATATTATTTCTGATGGAAATCTCCGAGATTTGAACTGTATCCAAATTCTTTCTATTTTTTTTCTATTTTATTTTATTTTCTTCTTCGGAATTATTGTCTTTGCTGTTTCATCTCATTTTATTCGGAAAAACTATCAACATTGAATTTCGCCCATAAAATTGACGTATAAAGGCATCAAATTTGGGGTAGACGGGATATAAGTAATGAAATCTGTGATTTTCGTCGAAAAATGCGTTCAAGTATTTTGTATCGAATGTTATCAATAATAAAATCCTCACAAAAACGATAAACGGAGATGAAAGTTCAGAAAAAATCGTTTAGAAAATCCCGGTGTATTCCATCGCCTGAAAGGTAATCGACGAGCGAAATTTAATTCAATAAAAAATGCTTTGAGTGGAGGATATCTTACGATTCGTTCGGTAAAAAAATTACACTTATGGGAGAAAAAACTGCGGTTCCTTTTACATGAAAAGTCATGGAAATTTCCATTTCCCCAGAAGTGGAAATTTACACTAGTGTTTTGTAAAAAAAATCCACCGTTACACATAAATTTCTAGACATTGAAAATTGATTGATGTTCGCAGGCGATATTTTTCCTTAAATTCCGGATGAATTTTATCACTTCTGAATAAATTACTTGACAATTTTTCGGAGCAAACGCGAAATTTACCGTTTATTTCATCTTTTTCTTTCAATATAAAATCAAAAAGACTTAGAACTAAATTTCGCACGACGATTTCTTGACCTTTCCATTCATTTTCGAGATCTTTGAGATCTCGGAACTGATTAATAAAAAGAAACGAATCGAAATCTTTGAAATTTAATCAAATTCAGTTCAAAATTCTGTAATCTTAATTTTCAAAATTTGCGTACGATTTCATCCGGAGTATTTACCCCCCTATCAGTTACCGATTACTAACGAAAACCTGAGAATTGATTCCATCATAAACTTCAACTCGAAAATATTCACCAGTGTCGCACACAAGCCCAAGCAATCCCAAAAAGCTCAAAAACGTGTTCACAGTATTTAAAAACCCCTCGAGGTTTCAAAAGTCGTTTACTCAAAAAAGTGTCGGCGTTATCGATTCGGTTGCAGTTCAAATAGCGTCGTAACTGATGAGTATTCGCTCTAATCGGTGACGATTAGTTGAAAATACAGAAGAAAAACCCATAGAACGAATAAGTGAAATTAATCGATGGAGGGTCAGGGGGATAGCTCGCTGATCCTAGTAGCTGACGATGTATTTCTTTTCACACATTAACGGGGATTTCTGGGAAGAGATCTCGAGACTAATTGATGAATAGAAATGAATCAGAATCTCTGAAATTTGATCAAATTCTGTTCAAAATTTTACACGTTCCCGGGGATCTCGTGACTGATTAATAAAAAGAAACAAATCGGAATCCCTAAAACTTTATAAAATTCATTTCAAAATTTTGCAATTTTAATTTTTAAATTTCAAGTGCGATTTCATCCGGAGTAATTATTCCTCTATTAACTGCCAATTATTAATGAAAACCTGAGGATCGAAAATTGAAAATGGGATTGATAATATTCAGTTTACAATTCTACACATAACCGGGGATCTCGTGACTGATTAATGAAAAGAAACAAATTAGAATCCCTAAAATTTGATAAAATTCATTTCAAAATGTTGCAATTTTAATTTTTAAATTTCAAGTGCGATTTCATCCGGAGTAATTACTCCTCTACTATTAGCTGTCAATTATTACTGAAAACCTGAGGATCGAAAATTAAAAATGGGATTGATAATACTCAGTTCACAATTTTACTCGTTCCCGGCGATTTCGTGACTGATTAATGAAAAGAAATAATTCGGAATCCCCAAAATTTGATAAAATTCATTTCAAAATTTTGCAATTTTAATTTTTAAATTGCGAGGCCGATTTCATCCGGAGTAATTACTCTATGAGTTACCAATTACAAATGAAAACCTGAAAATTGAAAATGAGAATTGAAAATGTTCGCCAGTGCCGCACACAAGACCAAGCACTTCCAAAAAGCCCAAAAAACGTGTTCACAATATTAAAAAACCCCTCGAGGTTTCAAAAGTCATTTACTCAAAAAAGTGTTGGCGTTATCGATTCCGTTGCAGTTCAAATAGCGTCGTAAATGATGAGCATTCACTCTAATCGATGACAATTAGTTAAAAAAACAGAGGAAAAACCCATAAAACCAATAATTGAAATGAATCGATATAGGGACAGGGGGATAGCTCGTTGATCCCAGTAGCTGCCAATGAATTTCTCTGTACACGTTACCGGGGATCTCGGAGTCAATGCCACAAACACGCTGCATGGAAAAAGAAAGAATGGAAAAAATATTTACAACAGGAGAAGTCCAACCAAAAGTACGAGAAACAGAACATAAATCATTCCACTAATAGAACATTTTCCACTATTTATTATTCAAGAGTTGAGTGTGAATGAGGGCCATACCATGATGCTTGGAGGCTCGAAGGCCCAATCCGTTGATCCTCTTCGTCAGCTCGGCACTCGCCCTCTCTACAACACCCTGAGCCGATATCGACGACATTTTAATTCCCTTTAATTATCCAATAAAACTCGAACTCCGAGTGATGTTCACTGATTGAAATTCAACGGTTTATCCTCTTTAGTCAAGAAAAGCGTGAGTTTCCCCTTGCGCAGTGGATTCTCCGCATATTGGGGCAGACGATTTATTTATTTTCGATTTAGACAGCACGGACAACGGGTTTCGTGTTTAAGCCGAAAATTAGAATTTCGATGGAGAATTAAATCGAATTTATTTATTCATTCGATTCAGAACTTCCGGAAATTTTATTTGGACGTTTGATTGCGGCTTTTTTGGTGGAAAAGTGGATCAATTAATTTTGAATTTAATTGGCCGGTTCTCCTCAATTCATGTGTCGTTAAAAAATGGTGATGAGCAATGGAAAATGGTGATAAATCGTATGAAAAGGGAAATAAGACACTTTAGTGGCAATTGTTGGGGGGGAAGGGTAAATCAATACTGCCGGAGTGGCCGCAAGAACGACACACACGGGGGTGGTCGTTTATTTACTCTCGAAAAACGTACACAACTTGATTTTTTCCTGATTTGCGCTCTCGATGATTTAGATGCACCTCAGGGGCTTCAACTTCCGGGTTTGATTGGTGGAAAATTGCGTGACGGGCGGATGGATTTTGAGGGTGATTTTAATTCTCATGAGTTTCGGGGATTTTCCGGTGGAAAACGAAACAACCAGGCACGTTTGAGCTTCGTCACGGGAAAAAGCGCGTCGGGGGTGGTTTGTGTGAGACTGAATCGATACTCAACAGTACCCGGTGCATGTCCACGGCCCCACCACTTGGATCATGGGGTACAGCGCACGCGCTGGTTTTCCAGAGTTCAGCGGTTACTTTGAGTTTGCGGGGATTTTTCGGGTGATTTTTTGGGGATCAATGGCTGGGAGATTGAGTGGAATGTCAGCAGTGAATTATGGAGAAAATTATTTGGTGAATCTTGATAACTAGGTGTCGAAATTCATCAAATTGTTGTTGGAAAAATGAATTACCAACCAGCTATTCAACAATTCAACAATTAATTGCTGAAATTCAACAATATAAGGGTGTTTTCGATAATTATTGGTATGGTTTTGTACCTTTGAAAATTTAATTTTGTTGAGGCTTCTTATATGGCTTTTTTATCATTCAAAAGGCCTAAGAGATTTTTTTCAATTTTCAATGTCAAAAAAGTAGAAAATTGTGCGTGGCACCCCTTTCCCCCTCCTCGATTGAAGATTTTTTTATTTCTCTACTGAAAGTGGCTGTTTTTACTAAACATATTATATTTACATATTATTATATTTATATTATATTTACTAAACATATTATTTATTAAAAAATTGGACTGGAACTCGGATTCATTCTATGCAAAAAAAAATTGAAATTTAGTTTTTATAAATTTTTCCCAATGTTTCATTTTTCTATTTTTTCATTCCAAAATTCACTATTTATCGACCATTTATGAACCACAAATAATGAAATTTCGAATTACCTTACAAACTAAGTATTGGTAAATCTTTCGAATGAATCATACAGGACTGACTTCCATCTGTTATTTTATTATCTTTATTTTTTCAACATGTGTTTCATCTTGTTTCATTTTTACATTATCGTGTCGATGTACCTTTCACTTTTATTAGGATATTTAAAAAAGAATCAACGGCTTTACACGATCTTAAGACCACTCATGGAATTCTCCAGCGACTGAAACAGTGGAAATAATTAAAATTAGTGGCTCCTTATCATTACTCACGAAGATGAGAATAATTTTTAATTACCTTCAAGTCCCAAACAACGAGTTGGCCATCGAGTCCACTGGTACTGAACTCATTATTAGACACTCTCCTCACGCAATTAATTGTATTCTGGTGAATACTATCCAGTGCCCTATCATTATTCTCAGTCCTCGCTTGTCGATCCAACGACTGGAATTTTCTCATCGCTGATATTCCAGCCGCTTCCTTCTTCTGCGAATTATCCAACTTCGATACGAAGTGTAATTGACCATTTGCGTCTAGTGAGTACAGCATTGGCATGCAACTGTGACCCTGCAGCAATAATAATGAGCATTGAATAACAATAATTTGTACTACACGAAGAACAAAAAATACAACAGAATGTCTAATATTTGGCCTTTATGTTTCACTTACCGCAGCAACTATCGAATTGGGCCCCACCCAAACACAACTTAAGAATGGTAAATGCTCAGTATAAAGTCTCATAACAGCATTCCCCTTGGTCGCATCGGCAACGCAGATCGAGGAATTATGAGCGACCCAGCAGATTTTGTTTCCACAGGGGCTAAATGCAACAGCGTGAACCCAACCGCCTGAAAAAAAGGGGAATTTAATCATTGTTGAGTCATCTCGGGCAAGATTTCTATATAAAGATGAGAATATAAATGATCACAATGACGATTGTCATTAGGTAAAACCAAACTCTCTTCATAAATTCTTATAAAACGCAAATATTATTATTTGCAATTCTCATCACATGAAATAGTCTCTACAGACAGATTTAGCTGAAAAATTGCCAAAATTTATTGTAGGGCAAACATGTAGCATTTTTTAGAGAAAAAAATATGAGAAAATTCAGTAGAATATCGTTTAATACCTGACGATAGTTAACAAATTGCCGACAGTTATTGTTGACATCGTAAAATATTTACCTCCATTAGTAGAATTTGGGAATTCCGCCAGTAAAGTGCCCAGGGTGGACGTAGCTCCCCAGGGCCCAGAGCCCGGTGCGTCTTCCATATCCTTAACATAAGCACCAAAAACCCGGACTTTGTAGTCGGAAGAACCTGATACTAATACTTTATTATCAGGATGCCAATCAATGGCTGTTACAGTGGACCTTATCGGTCGTTTTATGTGCTTGGACAACCACCAGTTGTTTTCTGACACGAAGTAACTGACTGAAATCATCCTGTCACCCGAGCCCACAGCAAATTTATTCTCTGTAATGAGGGAATTTTCGGTCAATTTATTCAATGATTTTTTTACCTGATGAAGTTCTTGGAAATTCATTCAGTATTGAAATCATAAAAATCAGGTAATTTTTTCATGTTTTCATGTTTTCTCGTGTTTTGTTATTGAATTATCTCGATGATTAGTGGATTTAGGAAAAAATACACATTATTTCAAAATAATTCAATGTTGGACGAAAAAATAGAGAATATTAATCGAATCGATTCTTTTAAAAATCTCATCTCATTCGTTAAATTACCTTGATGATAAGTGGATACAGGAGAATATAAAGAGACCTTTTTCAAGGAAATTAACTGTTGGATAAAGAAGTCTAGAAATTCTCCTCTAAATCACTGGTCATTAAGATAAATGAAAATACACAGTAATATTAGATTTAACTTTGCAATTGATCCATCAAAAAAAGTCAAAAGACTTCTTCTGTTGGAAACTAAAGTCTCTAGAAAAAACTCTCCTCACACTTTCTCCCACAAATATTACACTTTCCACTGAATGACACATTTGAGGACGAAAATCTTTTCTTTTTATCAAAAATTGAACAATCTGAATTTCATACCATTTATAAAACTCATAAAATTTTCTTTTATTGCATAGAATCCAATTCTCCTCCTCATCTAAATAATACTAAATTTAACAGACTATCAACTATCAACTTATTAAATTCTCTAGAAATGAAAAATTCCAAATAAAAAAAATTGACAAACATCAGGGGTACCTAGTGGTGACCATTTGACGCAGACAGCAGCCCTCGTCATCCTCAGTACGACCCAGGCAGGTATCCACTTTCCCTTCTCATCCTGATTCCAGACATAAGCATTTTTATCAGCCCCACACGTAACAATCCTGTTGGTCTTTGGCGCCCAATCCAGGCACATGACATTCATATCGTGAGCCTCGAGCACCTCTGTCTGTTTCCATCCCGCACTCGAGCGTTTGTACACGTGGACCTGATTGCTGTTCGGACAAACTGCAACTTCTGCAAGAAAAATTTTCACCCTCAGCATAACTAGAGATTAACTGTGTTTTTTCTTTCAACATTTTTTAAAGGAATTTTCTCAAGCTTCAAAATGTCATCTGATCGCAATTCCAATCATCGCAATTGCACGATTTTGACATATTCCCATATTTTGAATCATTCCATATTGATGATTTAAGGTCCATTTCACTTCAACTGCTCTCAACCCAAAGGAAACTCCCGAAAGTAAAACTACAAAGCTGTTCTCTCCCTTCAAACCCAAATTTATGGGTAAAATAACTCGATTTCAAATGTAAATAACTGGAGATGAGCAAAATGGAATTAAACATATTTTTATTTCATTGTAAAGGTATTTGTTTAGTTTCCAAAATGAGATGTAATGTATCCCAATTTTGATGCTTTAAGAAGATTAATTTGATCTCAACTTCCCCAAAACCCGAACAAAATGCTCAAAAATAAAAACCTGTGATATCCTTTCAAGCCCAAATTTATGGGTAAAATACCTCATTTTTAAATATCAATCACTAGAGATCAACAGAATGAAAATCAACATTTTTTCATTTCATTTTAAAGACACCTGTCTTCAAAATAAGCCGTGATTTATCCTAAGTTCTTCATTTGACCCTCAGATCTTAATAGTTAAAAAATGTATATTTTACCTCAACTTCTCCAAACCCAAAGAAAAATCAAAAAAACAAAAATACAAACCAGTCCTGTCCTTGTTCCACGCATGACAAGTGATGATATCAAGTCCAAAATTATGCACCTCAGTCATAATTCCTCCGAGATCCCCGAAAAAGCAAAAAGACCAACCTCCCAGAGATCTCAATCCTTGAAAAAACCTATCCCCGATGAATCACCACGAGGAAATCACTTGGGTGCGGCCGAATGTGCTCCAAAAACCGACAAAACTCAAATACTTCCTCGAACCACTGGAAATTCGTGGACTCTGGTCAGTCTACACGAATTATCCAGCCGGTTAGAGCGATCCCCTTATCAACACCACCAGTTTATAATTTATCGGACGAAATAACGATGAACTGAAGGCCTCGATGACACTTTATTTCGAGGAAATTCGTCTGTGGGGTTAGGAGTACACGGGGCAGCAAGTGACAACCAAGGGGGTCTCTCTTTTTTTTTTCACTTCTCAATCTTCACTTTTGACCATTGGTAGCACTGAATTCTGCGGAGAATACCAAAGTCACTGCACCAATAGCGTTGTGTGTGTGCTTCACGTCTCATGGATTCGCCTCGTACCTCTTATATATCGCTGACGACATGACATTTGTCAAGTCCTTCGTGTAGAATAATTTTTATTAAATCTTTCTCTTTGTTGTTAAGTGCGTGATTCAGGGGAGTGAGTGTTTGTCAATTGATTATTGGAGATTCTGGTGTTGGTGGCTTTATTTCCGGAGTTATTGCCCGGCTTGACAACGATATTTGCGGGGAACAGTCAACGTCTGGAAGAATTCAACACTGATTTGTTGTATTTTGTTTTGACAAAAGGGGAGACAGGGGTTTTTAATAGTTCGTCGAGATGAAACATGGTTATGTTCTGCAGGGTGCACAGATCTAACGACAATGGCACTGTCCCCGTCGGAGGTGAGTCACTTATTATGATTTTTTTGGAGGTGTCAGGTGCATTTTTATGTTGTTTTGGAGTTTGACGCCATTGATTGGATTCTTTGGGGGTTTCTGGAGTATTTTTTTATTTTGGGGGAGGATGTGGGGCTCAGGTGAAGTGGTGAGGGCTTTTGGGGCTGGAGAAAAGACGTGGAGTTATTGTTTCGTCGTTTTCATGGTGTTGGATGGATTCGCTGGAGTAGGGGGAATGGGGCAATATGGATACTTTTGATTTTTTGGGAAATGTTGATAATTCATTGAACTGTTTCTCTTTGTGATGAGCACAGAGTGAGCTGGATTGATAAGTTTATCTCTGAGTTATGAAGTTGAAAGAAAAACAGATGTAAATTTTTATCTACTTTCTCCTATTTTCTATGAAACTGTGAGGAGAGGCATTAGGTTTTTTAGGTTTTTTGATTAAGAGGTTTGTCCCAGATCTCCCTTGACATCAGAAGGGGGCATGGATTAGTCATCTAGAAATATCTGCATCAGCAGTTTAATCTGGTGCAGGAGAATTTTAAATATTTTTTTTAAGAATGAGATTTTGTTACATAGCTTGTCTTTGCTGACGAGAGAAAGGTTTTTGGATGATTTTATAAATTCAAAACATCTCAATAGGACACTACAAACATTTATGGGTAAAATGACCCGCTTCCGTTGACTCGAGATCAACAGAGTGAAATCCGACAATTTTTTTTTCATTTTTGAAGCCTAAAAAACCTCCAAAACGAAGAAAAATTGTTGGAATTGTTTAAAGATTTTTCTAGACTTCAAAATGAGACGTGATTTATTAGGATTTCTTCATCTGATCTGCAGATATTAATAATTTAAGAAGGTTCTTTTAACTTTACGCTTATTATGATTTTTTTGCGGAGGCATCAGGTCTATTTTTATTTTCTTTTGAAGTTTGACGCCATTGATTGGATTTTTTGGGGGTTGTTGCAGTATTTTGTTCTGGGAGGCCGTTGGGCACAGGGGATTGGGGGAAGTTCTGAGGACTTTTGGGGCTGGGGAATAGAGGGGCAGGAGAGAAGACGTGGAGTTATGGTTTCATCGTTTGCACAATTTCGCCTTTAGCTCCTTTCGAGAAATATCTCCGAATCTATGGGAGATAACAAAATTTTTGTAATAGACTTTTTTGTGCAGCGAATTGAGGACTGCAAAAAAGATCTCAACAAAGATTTCGCTATCTCCCTTAGATTTCCATATATCCATTGAAAACTGGCCAATAATCACAATCGCTGAAACCTTTTACCGCTTCGCTACTGAATTAAATCAATCAAGAGTTGCGATCATTTACTGGGAGATTCACGTAAGATTCTCGATAAAAATGTTAACAATGTATTTGTTCTATTCGCATTGTTACTCAGCGCCGACTCCAAAAAGAGCTTATGGCTCTGATACGTGAGCCGCCTGAGGGTGTTCAAGTTGATGAGGACCTGGTCGGTCAGAACTTGACACAATGGATCGTCCACATGGAGGGGGCCAAGGGCACACTCTACGAGGGAGAGAGATTTCAACTGCAGTTTAAATTCAGCTCCAAGTATCCGTTCGATTCACCAGAAGTGACGTTCATCGGCGGTAACATTCCTGTTCATCCTCATGTGTATAGTAATGGTCACATATGTCTATCGATATTGACTGACGACTGGTCACCGGCGTTGTCCGTGCAGAGCGTGTGTCTCAGCATTGTCTCCATGCTGAGCTCATGCAAGGAGAAGGTAAGTTCATCTTTTTTATTCGCTAGAAAATTTTATTAGATTTCTATTGAACTTTTTAATTAGTTTTTGGAGGATTCTATTGAAAAATACCACAGCCTATCTGCGGATTTTTTTTTGATAGAAATGTCTGATGGAAAATATTCTATAGAAAAAATTCATAGAATTGAATTTTTCGTTAATATTCGGATTTTGGCACATATTTCTCTCTTTTTTATATATTTTTACGTACATTTGTATTATCAAGATTCCCTCTAATGAAAACGATATCATGTAGTAATTTAAAAAAAAAATTTCTGTACAACTTATTCTATCGAGATATTTTTCTGTTGATTTTTTGTTCATTCAAATTCATATCGAGGAATTCCTATAGAAAACTTTTCTGTACGATAGTTTCTATCGAACAGTTTCTGTACAAAAACGCGTAAAAAAGTTGCAGACTATGAAGTTTTCAATAGCAGGTCTTCAGAAATCCAATAGAATCTTCTATCGAATTCGCCAGGTTTTTCTATGAAATTTTTTCGTGCGTGTTTTCCCCTTTTATTCAATGGATATTAATCTTTTTGCAGAAGAGACCCCCTGACAATTCGTTCTACGTTAAAACTTGTAATAAAAATCCAAAGAAGACAAAGTGGTGGTATCATGGTGAGTTTTAATCATTATTATCGAGTACAGAATTGCACATAAAATAATCCTATCTACTTAATTTTTTTAATACAGAGTCGGTTTTCAAACCCTTTTCATGGAAAATAACGAAAAGAAAGATTGAGAATTCAATTTTTTACATATTTCTTTCCTTAATAATCAATCAATCATTTATATATATATATATATATATATATATATATATATATATATATATATATATATAT